ATAAAAGACACGAAGGATTTAAATCAGGTTACGTAAATAAGTACCTACACAAATAAATTGTTCTTTGTTTTTTACTGTTTATACTAAACAAATAGGTACACGGTTCTTACAAAGATTGGGGCTATCGGCAAGTCTTTGTGCAATACGTAAATACATAAATTAATATTCTGGTATTCTGTATTAGTGCGATGAGTATATTGTGGGGCAATATTTCATAAAATAAGAAAAGAATTTATAACAAACAAACATTTTTCTTATACAGGATTATCCCGTTTAAGAAAACTTTATCAAAGTATTGCAATACCTAAACAATGATGTCGATGATTTCAGGCAAAGATAAGCCATTGTCTGATCAATTCATTGAAAGAATCACACTCAATGCAAGTTCATAAAGATAAATAAAATGCATTCACCTGATTTCTTTATCTGTGTTGTGCAAATCAAACGTATTGCAGGTTCCTTATAAAGTAATAATAAAATATCTATATCATCGAGTAAAGCCTTAACGAGTAAGTAAAGCGTTTAGAACATTTGATGTATTTATAAACGTTTTATAATCTATATATATAAAAGAAAGTCGTGTTAGTTACACTATTTATAACTCAAGAACGACTAAATCGATTTGGATGAAAATTGGCGGGGTGGTAGCTTAGGACCAGGAGACAGATATAGGATACTTTTTATTCAATTTTTTTTTTAATTTTTTCCGAAAATCACGAACGGGAACGGGGGGAAAATGGGATTGCGCGTACGAAGTCGCGGGCAGAAGCTAGTTCTTCTATAAGTAAGTCCTCGATAAAATCTGACTAATAACTAATAGCTTATTGAAATTACGTCCTAATAATAAGTACGTACTTAATTTTATAGATAGGGATTATGCTACAATATCAATAAACTAGTTTTCATACATAATCTTCATATGTGAAAGATAATTTAACTCGTCGAGTAGGTACCGTATTTATAGACACAATTAAAGAACAATAGGTTGCGGTCACCGGTGACCGCTCGGTGTTTGACAGTTTAATGATAGCAGATCAAAATTGTAATTTTGGAATTGTGGCCAGTATATGGCAATAGGCTCGCCCTCTATTACATGAGACTTATAACAGAAATAGTAAAAAGTTGGTGTTACATTGTACATGTGCTGTAATATACACCTATGATTAACCCTTCGGGGATAAAAAGCGTGATGATATTTATTTATTATTACAGTTTAAGGCTGGTTTTGTAGTCACGTCGCTAGACACGCCCTTGGGCAGCGAGCTGTTAACTTCGTGCAGTTGAACCGCAGTGCACTGTGAAACGAGATTCACGCGTTGCGCTGCTGTGAGACAAGAGTGAACCGCGTCTCGGCAACGCCAGCGAATAGTGCGCATTTTCTGAACGGCGCTATATCTTAGAACGCGCGTGCTCCAACGGCGCTGCAGTAACGCTGAACAGTAACCAGCCTAAAAGATTCAGGTCTATCCAAAAGCGTCGCTACCACGGTAGGTTTCATTTTGAACAGTAGTTCGTATGTAATATACTACTGTTGGTGGCTTATCGATATCTAATGATAAGAAAGCCCTTTCGATTATTTCGTTTTTATAAGTAGAGTACCTACAGAGGTACTCGATAATGATGGTTAATCGATGGATAGATAGAAATTTATCCATCGATTAACAACAGATGTGAAATCCATGTAACAATGGAGTAAAAGTGCGAAGTACCTATAGTCCATCTGTTTAGGTAATTAACTAAAGGTAAACAAAGAAAACCACGTGACACAGAGATACTTAACCTACTATTACTTCAAATATTTCTCGTGTTTTAATTTTAACTAAATTCACTTTAAAATCGTACAAGTACAAATGCCTAAATCGTACAAGAGCCTAGCCTATGGGTCTATTTCATTATCATGTTTAAATAGAAACTATTCTGAATCTGATGTACGGATTTCTTTCTTGTACGGATGTGTCTTTGGGCCAAGTTTCTTCAATATATTTGAACACATTAATTACAAACGATGAATAACCTAAACATAAATAATAACAAAACAAAGAAACAAGTTAAATTCAACAAAATAGGAACGCGAGCGCAAACGACGAGAGAGCTGTCAATGGCGCCTGATTAACCGACTAAACGTAATACACGCTATTTTCATTGTCGCGCTACATCTTAATTGTACTCTTTAATTTGACAACATTATCTAATGCTTCGTTCTTATAGAAAGGTTTTGGGTACCTGGGATTTTAGGCTCTTTATGGTGTCTATTGTAATAAAATATTATATTATTTAATAAATGTTATTAAATTAATATCCTCAAGCAGATATATATAATATTTACTAAGAAATAAGTGAAAAGGAACAGAAACATAACATTTAATAGAGAAAACTGTCGTAAAAAGGGAAACAATATTATTTTCTTATGAAGTATTTTGAATCATGGAAATGTCAACTATAAACAACTCTTTTTATGGTTTGTTTACAAATAGTTAACTACCTAAACAGACGGAGTATATGTTATATTAATATTATTTATATTAATAATTTCGTCAAGGGGTACGGTAGACTCGATCGAAACATTACCTGAATAACAAAACATAATAAAATGTCGATTTCGAGTCGACAACTTATATCCGTAAAATTCGAATTATGGAGATTATTTCGTTTTATTAATTCATTTTAATGACACTGACAGACAAACCACAGTCGCCATCTTGAGTAGACAATAAACGTTCCGTTTCATAGTAGCTCTCAAATACGCCTCGCTAATCAACACGGTGTCGCGTCAAAAAAGTATAAATTACCAAGAAATATGAATAGTTTCACGCGAACGAAGTCGCGGGTAACAGCTAGTGTTAATATAATTATAGTACACACGGTGAAAAACGTGTAGAGTTTGACAGATGACGAAATCTGCCGTTTGTATTGTAGAAATTAACTCTTCAATGTCGACGTGGATATAGTTTCCTAGAGGTGCTTCACTAATGGGTAGATTGACAGACTATTATTTATTTTATATTTTGTTGACGTTTTAAATTTATCAAATTATGGTTCAATTGACATAAATGCTTTTGAGTTTGAGTGCTTTCAAATTTTTTTCAGCTATACATATATGGCCAATTGGCCACTCTACTGGCAAGTAATTTGCCATATTGGCTATCCATAGTCATATGGATAAACTGCAACGTCACCTGGAAATGTAACCGCGTCCTACGTTATTGGTAAATATTGCAAGTCACCTGAAAGAAATTCCAGAAAGCTATGTCAAAAAACTCACTTATTCATAATTTAAAGACTTACGTATATATCTTCTTTTCCAAAAACCTATGCCACGATTTTATCGTGTGATTGGTAATCCGAACGTACACAGTCTAGAACATTCCCATATACGCTCATAGCTCTTCCAGGCGCCTAGTTCCGTCCACCGAAGCCATAGCAAGCAAAATATCACGTGAAAGAAAAACGTTGAAAGTGAACACATCTAGCGACTCGTGGTGGAAAACTTGTGAGGGAAGCATTTCACAGCACGTGAATCTAAAACGTGGGGAGTTCTGTGGAACCATGTTGATAGACACGTGATTTTAACTTGCGTTTATATAACTACATCACGCCATGCTTCTCCTAACCTTTATTCTAATTCGTTTTTAGCACATCACACCATATTCCAAGTAAGCGGATTATTGTTATCAATATAATATGTACAATCTTCTGTTGGAAAAAACTCAATTCTCTCCTCCAGACTCAAACAAAAACAGATCAAACTTAAAACTGCACTCAACGGTTCCTTAATAAAAACTGTAGTGCAGTAAGTATGACGATGAAAACCATTCATAATATTTTTTAATGAAAGGGACACCACCCCACAAATAAACAAACTCTTTAGCTTTATATGATAAGTATTAGATATAAGATGAGGTAGCTAGAGGTACCATAGCCCATTTTCCGTAAGTTATTTTATGGTATTTCCATACTTCAGACACAACTTGAGATTAGGTAAGTAGGTACTGGAATTTCATAAAACCAAAATAACCCAAACGTAAATTACGTTTCTTCTTTTAGTCCCCGATGGCACAGCCGCAGGTAGAGATGCATAGTAATCTAGTACAATTTCAGACTCCATGTTATATAACCCAGATGTTTTACAAAAACCCATACATAAATACCTACCAAAGTAAGATAATAAGATGTTGGATTAACATGAGAAAATAAACCAAAGCGTGAATTCTCACTTTTATTGTCACATATGTACGTACACATTATCGGTATTTTTCAATGAATTTTTACTTAAATTATTATTATTTTAACTACTAAAGAACTTATCTACGATTAGTTAGGTACTCATTAATACAACTTCGCCAAAATCATGAGTTAACTATGTTCAAGAAATACATAATATTTTGTGATTATTTAGAACAAGACTCTCAATTTCAACGCACATATTTTATCTTCTAAAAGACTTTATTATTATTACTTTTCTCTCTTCTCATACATTATGGTTTATGGTATAGCTTTATAGGTCCATTCTTATTTTAACGTAGGTAAATATGAAAACCGACTTTAGAATTACATTTTAGGAAATATACGTTACATAGTATGCACTGACGAATTTAACTCATACATAACCAGTAGCTGTAGCCAAATGCCATTTAGCGCTTGTCTACTTGTAGAGTAGAAAACTAAATTATACGGAATTGACGTAAATTTTGAAACTTGTCAGTGTCATGGGGATGACACTGACAAGAGAGGACAAATCAAAATGTATGGGGATACATTTTGATTTCTATTCTCTCTGTAGTCAAGCGCTAAAGTGGCGTTTGGCTAAAGGCACAGGAGTAAAATACACATTTTTACGAATACTAATTACGAATTTCGAATTTAAGAACCCAATAAATCTATCTATTGCTGATCCATTACTAGTAATCATAAACAAATTACTTTAACCATTTTTAATATTTAAATGCTAATTATAGACAATAGTAGGTATTTCCATTACTAGATTCATGGAATGATTTTAACGCTAGTAACTTTTACGTGTTTTCTTGTGGGGCTTACAAACTTTACAATCTTTACAACAAGAATAATCGAATTTGCAAGGAGGAAGGAAATATTCCTCTTCGTCGCCGGTGGCGTAACATCGGCCCAAGTGTAACATGTCTTCAAAATCACACCTAGGAAAAATAAGACAGATCAATTATTATGTTTTCGGCTTACTCACGTAACTGTTTGGCAAGGAACTCGACTAGCTTCAAGCCATGTAGAATCTCATATATACAATAAGTATGTCTCAAGAACGTGTTAATTAATATAAACAACAAACAACAGAAGTCCAATTCTAATCTTTGTGAGGCCGATTAAAAATATGGTTATTATACATATATTATGAAACTCGAACGTAAATAATTTGTGTACATATCTGGGAATAAGTATCTAGCAGCTAAGTACCTAAATACCGTTCGGTAGAACCGGATAAATCTCGCTTACAACCAATCTGGAAGTCTTTGGGGAAGGCCTATGATCAGCAGTGGACGCCTTGTACCTTTTTATGAGATTAGCCGTAAAAGTTGAGGATTTTTGGGGATTTGGGTATTGGGGAGAAGGAGATCCACCCTCCCTCGGGGGTAATTGGGCCTCCGGTAACTTCACTCACACGAGAAAATACAACGCAAGTGTTGTTTTTATAATAACTATTGTGAGACACTAAATTAACTAATAATCGCGCGTTACTCACGTGAATATACTGAGAAAAGCTCTACTAGTTTCGAACCACAGAGGGGTTCTTCCTCCTAAGCAGCGTGCGCGGTCGCGGCGACCTAGTAGAACTTTTCTCAATATATTCACGTGAATAACCCGCGATTTTTAGTTAATGCCAGTGTTTCACGTCGGTTTTCTGTGAGGCCTTGGTATCCTCCCGACTCCGGTTGGCGATATATAGATGTCTAGTACCTTACCTACTATCTTCCAATAGTTTCAGTTCGCTGCCATTAAGTGTGGGTACAGCGTATTCAGTGATGCCTCCATTGCCGACAGTGACGGGTGTGGCGCAGTACTGCATGTCGTAGCACTTACTCGGATCTCCTTGTTCCACTAACGCACTGTCTATAAACGTTGGCGACTCAAAAAGTCCTGCATAAATGAAAATAGGGCAATAAAATATGGGTGTTAAAAATAAATACGAAGAATTGATGAACAAATTTTGACTTTTCTACTCAAGCTAACTGGTGTAAAACACTTTTTCAACATTTTTTTTCATTCATTATTTCCACTTCTCGCTTAACTGTTTACACCATCGGGGAATGTAACTCGTGATACTAAGTTCCAAAAGGCCCAAAGGGCCTACCGACCTGGAACTTCTTTGCAGATCAAACTCACAACCTCATTTACCTACAGATTTGAGCCAGAAAGTCCAAATACGAACCTTTCATAAGATTGATGGTAAACCTGGCAGTCGCAAAGCCGATAGACAGATGTCCTTGCTCGTAGTTACTCTTCACTTTGCAGATGAGCTCGTCAGCTTCACGCACTAGTCGGGTGAGGCATTCCGTCTTCGACTTGATTACGACAGAAACATATCAAGACTTAAAGAACAATTTGAACAAGCTTTACAATTACCTCCTTGCTATTTTTTTAATTAATGCTTTTTACTGTCATTTCATTACACATGAATCTGACCTGTCCTCATATCTTGGTTCTGTGGTAAATCGATAAACCTACAGTATTTTACAAGTACCTATCTTTTAGGATTGTGGTCAAAATTCTCTACTACTCATTCTGTTAACAGCTAATAAATTAAACACGTTCATTCACACTGAAGTACTTAAAGGACAATCACCTCAAAAGAAGCCTAAAAATGTGACCTAAGTAAGTAAGTTCATAATCCTTCATCTGTAGTAGCCTGCGATTGACATGAGTCATGAGTAACCTGATGCATGAACATCAGGTTACTTAGTAGATACACGATTTCTCAGCACAGAACAATAGAGTAGACATTGGTAAACTCAAATTGTAGAAATAATAATAATAATATTATAACAATAATAAGCAGATCCGGTTCAGTGTACTATTTGAGATCTTAGGTAGGTACTCGACTTACACTAGTTTTCTATAAAATTACTTTTTTATGCATAAACCTCTAAGATACTGTATGGTACCTATGTCATTCAAACTCACTTGTGGAAAGTTGTCAGCTTTTCCAGCAGAAAATACTGGGACTCTGGTACATCGACCAGTGCCACAGACTACTGGCAGGCTGCTCTTGCTAGGGTCACCTCCGGTAACGGAACAGAACAGCTGGTTGGCGCGCATCGCATTGATCGCATTCACACCCAGCACACGACGCTTGTCGTACGCACGTGCCCGCATAAGGGTCTGAATAATAAACAGTTTAATTAACGCTTCCCTAATAATCTATACTTCAATCTAATAATATTATAAAATGTTGATGTAAATAATATATTCTCTAAGTTTCAAACTCTACTCGCCCTAACTATAAGTAGCACACAGTTGCTCTAACAGACAAAATAATTGTGTCCGCTAACGACAAAAACTTTACTTTTTGTCAAAATAAACCTAATAAAATTGGTGCATATTTATTTATGTCATAGCCATGGCCGTCCCACTGCAGGGCAAAGGCCTCCCTACCCTCCTTCCACTTGTCTCTTCTTACAGCTTTCTGTGGCCAATCCTTTTCATAGGCGTCAAGATCATACTGCCATCTCCTTCTGGGCCTACCGCAACGTTTATGGACTTTGAGTGGGCTCCACTCAGTAATAAGTTTCGCCCACCGCTCGTCTGACATGCGACAGACATGCCCAGCCCAGTTCCACTTTAAGCTTGCGACTTTATGACCAACATCAACGATTTGATTGCATAGGTACTCATAAAGAACATTTATGGTTTTACGTAATTTACAACTAACATGTATGCACAGCGCAAAGTTGCAGTCAACAGGTGGTGTTTGTATCGCGATGATGGCATGTGGGGCAAACTTTGCGGTGGCGATCGTAGCCGAGCGAACATGTTGCAGGTTCAGGAAGAACATCTGCCTGTCCAACGTATTGCAACATGGCGGCGCCAGGTACGCACCGCCACAGATCAGCACGACATCAGCATCCTATACCACATACAGATTGCCTGTAACGTAACTGTGGAAAATCTTTTGCAGGATAAAAGCTCTACCTATTAGATAAGTACTTACCTGAATACTTGAATAACATTTGCGTCTTTGGCTAGGCATGTAGGTAAATAAGGCACAATAAACAATACCACTAGCTGCGTCTTTCAGTCAACGTCTGTACTGTTTTAGTAGACTAACTGGTCTCTTTCATTTTATTATATTATATTCCTAATAATACCTATATAGAGGTAATACTTATAGTTACGACTAGATGAGTAGGACCATACACTACTAAAATTAGATATTTTAATGTTACCTCGATGAACGCCTACTAATGGCGGATAAAAGCAAAAACCTCACATGCAGGGCTTCCTTGAGGAACAAGCGGCCCTGGTAGGCTTCCACCTCAGTGCTGGTGTCGATGTGTGCGATATCGTTGGCCACACCGAGCACTCCTCGCTCCGGAAACTCATCGTACATGGCCAGAATGCGGACCACTTTTTGCTGCTTCAAGAATAGGCAGGCGATGCGACCCACGTCACTGCCAGCACCAACCACTGTTACCTAAGTTTATTGACATTAACTGAAGTCTGATTTAGGAAGTGAGTTTTTAAAAATCCATGGATAAACATAGAACTGTGATAAACTAGCGTTTATACCCGCGATTGCGCCCGCATGCTTTTGAAACTATGTCGATATAAAAGGTCATATTGCAAATCTCACGAATTTCATAGATCACACATAATAGGTATCTACGTATTGCCGGTCTGTCACACCTAATTCGATAACAAACATAATTGATTTCTTTTAGACACCTGCATAAACAATAAATCAATTTAGATACTTTGAAATGCACACCAGTACAAAACCACAGCCTAACATGATAACTAGCAAACTATCGGGTATCAACCACAGACCTTCCGCGGCGGGAACCGAGGTACGGGGCAGAACTTCTCGCATTCCCTTTCAATCTGAGCTAGAGCATCCGAAAGCACGAAGTTCTTGTATCCTCTAGAAGCATACTCGTTTAGTTCCTTATTTCTAAGAAATTGTGGGTGTACAAGTTGAGGCATCAGCATTTCCGCGAGTTTCAGACTCCGGTTAAAGTTACAAACAGGCCGCAACATTCCGACTATTGTTGTAATCTCAAAACTGTTAAAATTTTTACTTAATTATGTATTTCGTACTATAAATTTTGATTTATTTATTTGTTTGCATTGTTTATTTCACTGAAATTTTCTGCCAAATAAATGACGTTTTTGTGAAATGGAAAACCATAGGTGATAACGTCTATAGAGCATTCTACGTAAAGAGGATACCTATATGAGTTCAGAGTAATAAGTTAAATAGTGTACACCAACCGTCTACAGTGTAGACGGACTCAAAGGCTACTGAATTTGAATTCTATAAGAACTATAGAATAGATATATGTATATCTTATAGAATTCTATAAGACTATAGGGTTTAAATAGAATAAGAATAGTTCTGTCACTACAAATTCTTTGAAACATGAAAGATGGCGAGATAAGTACAAGATTGTAGCCACCCAACGTACTTATTAAAAATGCGTTAACTCTCTTCATCTATCAATATTCCAACAATAGCTAGTCGGCTTAAATATCAATTCTAGGAAATAACAATTTCACTTTTATTTTGTAACTTTCTTTAGTGCACTTCATTTGAACTTTGTGCCCCTCCTAAGGATATGCCTTGTGGTAATAGGTGCGTACCAAAAGAAGGGCTCAGTCTTCGATATTATCCCACCCTGGGATAGTAGCAGGGAGTGTCATACTTCGTCTATCCACATCGTTTCTGCTACTGCTCTGAGCCTGAGCCACGGTATATGGCTAGCCTCATTTGCGACCCGATCATAGTGACCCTTACGAACTTCTTCATCTTCTCAGACGCAATGTTTAGTTTAATGCCGTAGTGGCCCGGAGGTTTAAGACGCTAGCTTCTCAAGCATGAGGATGCGGGTTCGAAACCTACCAACGGCAAGTACCAATACCAATGTGACTTTTTCAGAGTTATATGTACTTTCTAAGATTATTTAGACACCACTGACAAACGGTGAAGGAAAACATCGTGAGGAAACCTGGGCTTATAATTTCCAATTATAAGTTTGTAATCGCCAACCCGCATTGAGCAAGCGTGGTGATCAATGCTCAAATGAGAGAAGAGGCTTTGCTCAGCCGTGGGCATTTATAGGCTATTGATGACAAGTCCAGCTTAAGAAATTCAGAACCCTTTCTGAAGTCGTGAAATAAAACAACAAGTAGAACAGACATCAATTTAATAGATATAAGTTTCACCTATATATTATGTTTAACATTCATATTGATTATTATTATATTGTCTACCCATATACAGGCATACTTGTTTATGTATAGATACAACACGGAGGAATTAAAAATGACTAGATCTATAGAGAGTGAAGCCGCCCTGACAACTTTACGTATCAACACTGTTGCAGTACTGTAAGTACAAAATACAATCTCGATATTGGCTGATGTTACTTTCAAAAACATTTAAAGATACCAAGAAAATAAGTTGGGTATTTACTATTACACAAAGATTTGCATAATAGGATTTTGCGCTCAGTAGGCGGCGCCACTGTAGAATAAAGGCCAAGTAGACTGAACTCCTGAAGTATAAAGGATTCTAATATTGGCCATTGTTCCTTATTTAATTCTATTTTACTTTGTGTATAGTAAATACGAAACTTATTGTACTCTATTTCGAATAGTTAACAGATCTAATAATTAGCAATTTGAACGTAACATCACCTTTATTCGATTTACGTACTTGAATGTATGACACGTAAATATCAATACAATCGATTGCTCCATTACAAAAACTGTTGACAACCTTCCAAATAAAAATCCATAATAAATAACTAAAATAGTACTTAAGGCGGGTTTTACGAATACTAGGTAATATCGGCTTGTTACGATTAGTCATTTAAAAAAGGGCTTCAGATCTAATTTACTTCGCAAACCACGCCTTTAAATAACTATATTTTACTGATATCATTTTCTGGCACACAATTTACAAAATAAACTTAATACAAACAGATCTTTGCTAAGATTCAAAAAGTGCTACTAAAATCTAGAAAAAAACTATTAAATCAACAAAAACAACAACATCAACATCTATTTAAAACATTCTTTTTATATGCATTTATACTCTATACTCATACATTCTCTATGGTTGCTTAAAAATGCCCGCGACACTTTTCAGTCGGTTATATTTAAAAAATAACATCTAACAAATGAAAACGTTTCGTAATTACAATTAAAATATAACACAAACTAATCTACAATTAACTGTCTTAAATATTTCGAAAATAAAACATGACTTGTCTCAACAAGTCATGTGCGGATTGAAAAATAATTTTAAATTATTTCGAATCCCAATTGGAAGCTTACTATAATTAAATTTAAATGTTTTCACAATACATCTACCATTGTGCATGTATCTAACGTAAATAAAATTTCAATTCATTGTCGATAACTTCAAAACATTAAATATAATTAGCTGACAAAACGCAAAATATCACTGAATCTTATAACGAACAATAATAATGGTATTATAGCTGTTATGAAACACTTATAAAAGTAATTATGTTAATAAAATGCTTTAGCATGCTATTAAAATTAGTAATGAGCTTTATGAGCCAACTTGAATGTCGATCCGACATATACCTACTCTATAAGAGAATCGTCTGAGGATGACAATCTAATTGGAGCTTAAAAATTCAAGTGTACTTATAACAAAATAATGACAAATAAAAAAGGTGATTTACTGATTCCGTCTTGTATTTTAGTCACGCAATTCTCATCAATGAATATAGACGTTAAAACGTTTGTTATTTGAGAAAAATCACCGAGTTGGTTTCAGCGTTCCTCCTCAAAGAGAAAAATGGCTATTGCTAAAATAATTTATTAATATTTTTTTAATTAATCACATTAAAACACGAATCCTTTTTATTATTACATGTTCGCATTATTACTTTCGTGAGACATACTAAATTAGTAATTATATTTTTCGGCTTACTTACGTAACTGTTTGACGAGGAACTCTACTACTTTCAAGCCATTCTAGAGGCTCATATTCATGAGCAACATTCCGCGGCACACGACGCAGCGACTGTCACGCTGCAAGTGCCCATGTTGTTATCAGTAAATCATAATATTCAATGGGATTCTTATTTTTCATTACACTTACATATCATCCTGAACGAATCCTCTAATAAAGTAGAATTTATATTAATTTCAACCAACCGATAGTTTTATATCACTGTTCTTTCATTAGTTTAACGTGTCTTATTGTGTTTATAGTATAACAATGAACAGTCAATATAAAGCTAGTTGATCGTATATTGAAATTAAGGTTAAAAAAACAATTAAAAACTTAAATGACTTTATAATATAATTGGGATATCTTTGAAAGACTACACGGCGGTTCCTTATTGAGAAAATTTGTGCACGGAGCGTGCTCCGAATTGGTTAGCCAATAGCAAATAAATAAATGTGGAAACAGTATTATTTATCAGTCGTGAAAATGACACTGCAAGGTTTGATCACGCGTCAGCGCCCGACGGCTCCCTACGGGGAAGTGACAGATAACTAAGAGGCACCTACTGCAGCTCCGAATGTCGAACATTTACAACTACCTCGCAATATATTCACAACCCGTCGCTAACGACGCTTAATAAGTAGATCATAAGAAATGTGCCGATCACTTTGTACTCCGCTTGAAAATGTTTGTGGTACACTATATGAAGAAACCAAAGTAATTTCATTGTTTTGCTATATGTATTTCAATTGCGACATCACTATTATTCGTAAATTAAAAGTAAATGTGAATTGATAAGTGTTTATAATTTTCTGAACATTTTAAATGGTGTTCAGAGACTGACAGTAAAACTATGATTGTCATCCCAAACAAAACATTTCAAGCAGAGTCGTAGTACATACCTATACTTAGTAACTAGCTAGGTACATTACATTTTATAACGGCAGACCCCATAACGCGAAGAAGACATAATCTAAACTTTATAGTAGATAGATATAATTAAAATTTGTAAACATGTAGGAAACAACATCAAAAATATAGATTCTAAAATTGGTTTGAAAAATATACATTAGTCTGATATCTGCATAAAATATGGAAGAACAAGCTAAAAGCAAAATAGACAACATTGAGTCTTATGTATAGTCGAATAGAATATAGAGTTGAAAAAAATACACAGCAACTGCATCACCTATGTAAAGTTTTCTAAAAGTCGACAATGTAAAGAATCGAAAATTTGTAACATACAGAAGCAGGAAGGAACGATGAGAGTAGATTCAGTAAGAGTGAGCAAACAAGGTAGACAGTGGAACACATTACATATACGGAGCTTTCGGCACACAGGTGGAGCCGTACTAGCTAACGGGGAAACTAATTTTAAATGGTGACGCGAGAGAGGCGTACCACTAGTGCGACATAATGACAGAAGCTCAGTGGCGCCCTCTGACATCACTCACCGAGGGCGCTACGCCCAGCTGCCTCGCCTACTGATCACTAACGATCATCACATCACTAAACACACAAACCCGCAAAAGCAATACAATGCAGATTAAACTCGGAAATATACAAATCGCAGCTTAGCTTACGATCTTACTTCTCTCGTAATATAGTAATAGAATAGTCTAGAAATATAAATATTAGAATATACATAATCAGATAACTCTTTAAAAAATAAATAGTCAATATAAAATGTAACAAGTATACGAGTTTCCTTAAAGACTATCATAGAATAACACTCGAGAACATCGCACGGAGACAGCTCCGCCATACATCGCGCTGTCGAAGCTGCAGTCGGAGTACTATTACACGCTACGAGATAACTCTTAACATCTAGTTGGCAGAATCACACGAACTTTAATAATTTATCAATATTATTACAATGTAGCCAAACACGGGGACCACAGCGATACACTACACAAATAAATAATTAAGCAGGATTGATCATATAGAATAAAATATATTAATATATCCTTAAATAGCCAATAAATAGTGTATATAAAAATATTGGGGCAATTTTGGGGCAGTCATTGTACCCGAGCATAGAGAGTTTACACTTCACAAAGGTAGACAAAGACAAATCGAAAAATACATGAACCATTGAGAACAATCATCAAAGTACAAACTGAAGGGAAGCTTAGGCCTTCTTGTGAAATAAAAGACATTACAAGTGCGAAACTGTGGTTCTAGTACAGAACATACGTGACCTACATCTTACCTAGAGACAATAATTTAATTACACAAGGCAAGAACAAGTCGTGTTTCACTTTAAACATCCGTAATCTACACGTTACACTGATATTATTCTACGTACTAGCTAATTCAATCATTTGTATCAACGAACGGGAATAACAATGCCAAAAACGGGTCATTAGAAGAGATATACTTATTAAGATTTAGTCGTGGACGTCGGGAAAACGTTAAAATCGAGCTGATAAATTCAAATATTCGCCAAAAACCTCAACCACTCAACAGATTGTGCGTGACCTAGACCCCAGCGTGCTCAGTAGAGACGGGCGACACCAGTGGCCACACAGCGCGACACCCCGCGGACACTACTACAAGGAAGGCCACTTACTAAAGCCGCGTCACTCCACTCACACACGTACGACACCTACGACGAGTACGTTACTTATTGCGGATGTGTAGGATCGACCCTAATCTATACTTCCACGTGCCACGCCTACTGCCGATACCTAAAATAAATACATTTTGTATTTACCAGTGAATCTAAACTACAGATTCAACTTACAAAGTGTACTCACGTTTGTGTATATTAACGTAACGTTTATTGATACAGGGCGATGTGACACCGCATATTAAGCTCATGAGGTCGTGTCGATCTAACGAGTACTAGTCCGAGCTACCTCGCACGCAACCATAGCAACCATCCATCTCAACGCTACCAGGGAAGTGCCTAAACTTTACAAACCTAAGCATCACAAGTTTCCGATGGAAATCTATAATAATTCCATTACATTATATTACTATTATACCTAAACACATTGATATTAGCTCACACGCCTCTATGTTAAGTTTATCAACTATTGTGTCAAGTACATACTTCATAGCAAATACAGATACATAAATATAGTCAAGAGATAGTAAGAGGTTCCCTGTTTCCATGTTTTACTTTCTTGTTTTAATTCAGGATTATTTGTGAGGTCACATACTACCCAGGTATTACTTTGCCATATTTGACAATTGAAAGAAATAAGTAACGATTCATGGTATACACAAACAGTCCAGTCACAAATAATCCCAATAGTTTTAAAATTTATATTTTAACGATAAAATTGTATTAAAAAGTTAACAAACACGAGGGGACCAAACTCATTACATTTATGGCACTTATATGATAACTAGGAATTTGTGCAAGATATTATTTGGATTACCATAAAAATAATGGCCGCTCTCGTTGAGAACATACCATAGATATAACAGAATTTCTAAAAATATTATATTCAAAATCATTTCTTATTTGATAGAAACTCGAAAGTAAGTAAATCGTCGACGGCAAGACGAACTTTAGAAGTAACAGATACAACACGGCAAGTAAAATACTTGACGATTGGAAATAAATCTAAATATCGATAAAATGTCTAAAATACGAGAATCGATTAAGACAAAACTGTACATCGTATTGCCGTAACTTTAAATCTATGGAATTTAAATTTGGCAACTACACTTCACTTAAACGGTACGGAGAGTGCATAAGTCAGTATTTTAGCGACAGCCGAGTCATAAGTTAATATTGCACTATTTAGTTACATCTAGTACTCACTTCGGACACTTTCCTTTAACAAGCGACGTATAGACGACGTAACAGAAATCACTTCACACCCCAAGAAAATGTATCCAAATGAACACTCACCTTAAACCTATGTAAAGTAGTGAATATCATTTAATATTATTTATTGCAAGTTTCGTTTAGAGGAGACGGATGTAAACACTATGTTATACTATATTATTGCTGGTACTTACTGAACAACTCGCTGAAATTATACATTAATATTAAACCACTACGGAGAAGAATAATATTTGAGAAGTGTCGCTATAGTATTGTATCTAATCTATTTTCAAAAGAAACGATAGTGTGACGATTCAAAACTCTTACACTATCGTAAGTGGTAAACAGTAACATTAAGTACTTTGAGCCTATGAGAAAGCACCATTGAAATATAAATCACTTTATTATTATAAATAAAACCCGTATTACTCGTACTTTTATATCATGTTCCGCTAAACAAGTCACACACGATGCGGTTTATACCCCAACGGTACAAAGAAACTCCTTTAACGAAACATTTCTATTTAATCTGTGTTCATAAAGGATTTGTGCCGATTATTTTACTCTTAAATTTACGATTGGAAGTACATTTCATGGTTTCTGGAACAAATGGTTCGTTGCTAATAACTACTCGAGGCGCTTGTCTAAGGCTGATTTATTCTAAACGACACAAGCGTTTGATAACTCTATTGGCAGTGAATTGTAACCTAAATATCTTAGATGGTGTTGCTATTGGCACATGAATCGTTAAATATATTGGAGTCGAAGGCATTTGAGGGCTCGTTTGGAAGTTTGCAGTTAATCTTGTATCTATTGGAGTACAGTGCGCAATGTTACTTGCCCGTATTTGGTTTCTATATCAACTATTGCTACCTAGACTGGAGACACTCGTGCACTACTGGAACTACATCTAGTCTAAATATTGTATTGTCTATCGAAGTTGTGTCTGGAACTTGTCTTTAGTTACTGACTTAACATATTTGGAGTTCCACCACTACATCGGATGTCAGAGCAATGGCCCATTTATTACTAATACCTAAACATTATTGGCGTTTAATGACTAAGCGAAAATGGAATGTTAATCTACAACCTACTGTTACTGACATCTGTTAGTACGATTAAACAATGCAAAAAAGCCAATATACATAATATAATATTACGATATTCATATTTACTACGCAAATGTTACATAAACTGACGTTAATAATATATTAATATATGTTTGTGACAATCAGCAAAACGCACGTGATGTGTTATGTTCGTACCTAAACTGTAACGAGTGCATTACAAAAGTTTATTACTATTCCAATAAATCATTTATTTAACCTCAACTTTTTGAATATTACAAATAAATTTTAAACTCTTCGCTAGAAACGCGTTCACTAACCAGAAAATATTGGAATAACCATCATAAGAATGAATTTCATAATAACTTTTAATTTTATAATATACGGGATTAAATATTATAATTATTAGCTACATGACAAACATGTTTAAAAGGAAGATCTATTTAGGAAGATGTAGGAAATAATTAGGAGATAAATTACCCACTGAGAGCAGTTTGTTGTGCATTAGATATGTATAAGTTAACAACTCGGTAGTGACATACGACATGCGACCGCAGCCCGCACGGCCGCCATGACTAGACGTCGGAAGCTTTAACCATGCAACCCGCATCGACTAACTCAATAAATGCAGTAATACAAACATTCTCAACACACACGTGTTACGACAACGTAGGTACAGTACGAGGGCAATCGTAACGACAGACGAGAAACATTCGCGGCACTCGGTGTCGGAGCTGAGAGACGCGAGCGCAACTAAAACTATGAGATTGCAAACGTAGAGAACAATACTGTCGAGTCACGAGCCGGAGACACGCGGGCCGGCCCTGCGCCGGCCGCTCCTACTGTTTGCTCCTTAGGCGATAATATCACAGATTCCTAAATAAAAATAACTCGCGCACAGAGAGACGCCGCGAGAGTGGCACACACACACGCACGCACGCACGCACACACACACACACACACACACACTAGCCCTCGGGCGCGCCGCCACACATGCGCTCCAGCTCCAACAGCTCCTGCAACACACGGACAGCACTGTTAGCGCTCAACGGTCTGAGATCTTTACATCAATTGCTAATTGTGGGGATTGTGGTAAAACCCCTTCCTCTTGTCTAAAGGTTTCTTTAGTGGGGTTGGACATAATACCCTTAATTGAATATTGGTATTGTGTCTTGTTTTGTTGTGTACGTACCTGGTCGCGATGTTTGATGAGTAGTTGCAGCAGTTTGTCGTGAGTCCGCGCGAGTTGCTCGCGCCGCGCTGCGTACTTCTGTTCCAGCCGACAACACTCTGCCACGCCACGCTCCACCGACTACAACGAACATACGTACAATATTTTATTTAATATTTTCTCCTTAATATATTTACAACATATTCATATCTTGGAAGAGCCACGCTTCGACATGAATAGTACTTTCACTCCAAAGGGTCGGTAGCTCAAGTACTACAAAGTAACTCCTCTGGTGTTAGGGATGTCCACTGGTCGCGTCAGTTGCTTACCATCAGGTGTCTTGTCTGGTCAGTAAAAAACAGCAAGTACCTGTGAGTGTATCTCTCGCTTTATTCTATTTATTTCGTCCTTATCCCGGTTGGTTTTCTTTGCTAATGCTTTCACGTCCTCCTTCCGCGAGTTCGCCAGCCTGTTTAGAATTTCCTTCTTATCCGCTTCTAACGAATCCTGGAATTATATTGTTAATTTCTTATTAACATACATAACTTCAAAATAATTTAATGAACAATATAATGAACGCGTGAAAATAAAACAATTATTGCGATGTATTTTATGATTATTTATTTAAAAATCAATTTACAAATTCTTCGCCTTCTTTCGTATTTGAAAAGCGGTAATCTATACATAAAAAGAGGCTTAATCTGTAACCCTGTATAAAGAGAAGCATTATATTATATATGTAGTTACTCGTTGGGCATTTGAAATAAATTAATTAAATCTATATCAGGATCATTTTCACATTGTATTTGGTTCTCTTTACTCTGCCATACTGGTTGTGGATAGCGAAAAGAATGCATTTCCTTCCAAGATAAATCAGGTAAAGGCGTGCTGCAAGTACTCGTATTATTACTGACACTCATTTCAGAAGCGCTACTGTCACAGGCCAGAGCCTCATATTTACTTAGGACTTGGAATATTTCATTTTTAGCATTGATTTGTAAAGGTCGAGGTAATTTTCTTAAAACATCTCGTATGTGTAACGTAAATGAGCTGAATTCATCGTTAATTACTTCCTTTTCTTCTTTTTGAGGTCTCAAATGAACGTCGGAATTGGCATGGAAGTTTTGTTTTGTAGTTATTATATCTTGATAAATTTGTAAAACATCTTTGATGTCCTCAATGTTTCTTGTACGAGAAGTGCTAGGTTCGTTCGGTGGAACATAAGTACAGGTTTGCCCGTTTCTGTCGGAGTCTGACGCGGAACACGCGTTGCTTGTGGCTGTGTCTGTATTCCGAGCACTGACTTTTTGTTTATCAATGTCTAAGAACGTCATCAACTGGCATTGTTTCCATTTTGCAGGCGAGCTATCGGTAACGACTATATTAGTTTTCTTGAAATGCCGATACCTATCTCTTAATTTCTTCCATTGTATTTTACAGGCCGCGCCTGTAATGTAACAGAATAAGTTACTTATTGTCTACTTATTACTATTTGTCCCAAAAAAAGTAAAATCTATCCATTCTAAGATTGCCTTGAAGAGATCGCTGCAGGCGGCAATGCCGCTTATCACAACAGGTACTCTTTATATTTGTTAGTTAAAAACTAACGTAACTTTAAACTGATGTAACCTTAAAATCCCGGCATGGAAAACAATATAATACGACATCAACAATTTTAACAAAAGTAATAATGTATGTCTAATTTCCAACTTACTGTCTTTGTTTAAAGTATTAGCTATATCTAGCCAGATCGCCTGTCGTCTGTGAATACTTTTAAACTTTCGGCTATTCGGATCGTAGAGATCACATTGTTTGGACACCAAATCTATTAATTTTTCAATTTCTTCATCGGTGAACACATCCATTGTGCTGTGCACCGTGTACACGGACACAATGCAATGGTAATCACACTGCAGGAGTATTGCCGTACTTCTGTTCCACTGTCTCACTCTAACGTTAGTCCTTCGAAACATTGATTCGTCACTTAGTATCGCATTAGTAGCAAACGCAACAAATCTAAATGTTTCATTGGTAGATTTCAAGGCTATTGCCTTTTATCTACCAGTGATAAACATAAGACGTATGTAGCCTGCGTCGATTATCAGCGGCACTTATAAATTCCTACAATTTCAATTCAGATATTCAGTTTGTAGTTCATTAAAATACAATGTTTTTCTCCAACATATTGTTTTTACTCAACTGCTAAAGAAGTGTTGTCTTTGTATTCTTTTTTATTTTTAAATGATAAAATACATCATTATTTATATGGAACAGAACTATAGTGCTAAAGATACAAGTATTGGTTCAAAATGTTTTAATAAAAATCTATGCCGTCACGTGATAACATACTGATTTCCTTTTTATAAGAACTTGTTTTTTCGATACCTACTTAAGGTCAGAATATATTCCACGTTTGACCAAGAACGTTTAATTTAATATATAGAAGCCTAGGCAATTTTTTTCACCAGATCCATATAGGAAGAGATCAGATATTGAATGTCCAATGGGGCGACACTAGTTAATAGGATAGTTTCCTAAATTTGATTTTAATGTCCGTCTGGTACATTAATTTAAAACTTGAGACACGTATTTTTTCTTTTCTCACAAAATTAAAAACTTTCGACGGTATATTAATTTGAAATATTGTGTGACGTCACAGCGTGTCACATTTTGTAGCACGTTATGACGTAACGACATCCCACTCCTTAAGTTAGAGCCATTTTATCTAAGTATTGCAACTTAATACGAGAAAATAAAAAAATACGTGTCTAAAATTTTTTATTATCTAACCGACGACGGACTAATTAGATTTTTAATTTTGATACCCTGGAAACTAGCCAGTTGTCTATTGGACGAAGGCACACTAGCGCCATTAGGTGAGCATAATGAAGTGAGTGGTGGTGGTACGTACGGAGAGCGCCTTCATCTGTCGGTGCTGGTCGGCCCGCACGTGCTTCTCGAGCGCGGCCCACACGGCGTGGTGGCACTTGAGGCGCAGCGCGCGCTCCAGCGCACACACCTCCGCCTCCTCGCCGCCGCACGACTCGCCCGCCCTGCGCACCACGGGGTTTATACCACTCTACAATCTAACACCCACTTTTCACTATTTATGTTATCAGTCCCATGTAATACGGGGTGAGCCTATTGCCATATACCGGGCACAAATCCAAACTCCGTGCTACTAGGTACTGATTTTTTTTTAAACCCAGTATTAATTAGCCCGATCCGGGAATCGAACCCAAAACCCCTTACCCGGCAGTCGCACTTGCGAACACTCGGACAACGAGACATTTATTTCAATTAAATCATAATTTGGTCTTTTAAATAAATAATAGTCTATCAGTCCGTTAGTGAAGCTGCTCATTCCAAAATGTAAATTCAAATGAAGAACGACCAAGAATCTCTATTCGTTTCTCTTTTATAAAAAGTCTGTCCTAGAATATCTCTAGTACGTATTACACCACATACTACCACTCTCATTCATCATCATCAACAACAACAGCCTATAAGTGCCCATTACTGACCAACAGAGAAGGTTTAAGCATTAATCACCACACTTGCTCAATGCGGGTTGGGGATTTCAAACTTATAATTAGAAATTATAACCCCTGAAGCCTTATACGAATTTATTTTACATTAAGTAATCGAACCCAGACCGCAATCAGCACTCTGTTTGGTTGGTTCAATGCGCCGAACCCGCGGCACCTTAATATAATTCGGAAAAAGTCACATTGGTATTTGCCGTTGGTAGGTTACGAACCTGCACTCTCATGCATGAGAAGCGGGGGTCTTAAACCTCCGAGCCACCACGACATTACACCGACAGCAGTCACCGGGGACCGCTTGGGGACTCAGCAATTAAAATTCTTTCGTTGAATATATTCTCTTATTCATGCCATTCTGCATTCATATTCTTTATCATTATCATATTATGACTTACACTATACTGAGAGCCTCGTCTACAAAGAGGTTTGTGTTAACATTTCTTAAAACGCTTAATAGAAGAATTACTGTCCACTAAGTACAATTTTGTCAAGTTATCCCGTCACAAAACTATACATGTGTATTATGTATTAATGTAGTCACTTGAAAATACAATGTTTACTTACATATTCTTCGAAGACAATCTTTTAACGAGTTTATTGCTGACGTAGAACTTGGAGGTGGGTGGTTTCTTCTCCTTGTCGAACTTGCGTCGCAAGGCGTCTAGTTTCCTCGCCAACTCCGCCTGTTTATCTCGAACCACCTTCATTGATAGCAGAGCCTCCAACGTTTCGGCTAACGATTCATCTGATGTACCATTTGTTTTTCCATCCGCATCTAAATAAAAAAAACATCTTATAACACAAGCTCTTGAACTCAAATTCTATCTAAACAAGACACAAAACACAAATAACACGGCGGAGTGTTCGTAAGTGCGACTGCCGGGCAAGGGGTTCGATACCCGGGTCGGGCAAAGTACCACTGGGTTTTAAAAAATATCTCAGTAGTAGCACAGAGTCTGGAATTGTGCCCAGTGTATGGCAATAGATGGGACTCATAACATAAATAGTGAAAAGTGGGTGTTACATTGTACAGTAGCATTAGGTGCCGTAATGTGCACATCTGCCGACCCCTTCAGGAATAAAAGGCGTGATGAAGTTATAGAAATAACAAAGTGCCTTAACGCTGTTTGTTCGCAATGCACACAAAGATTACTAAGCAGATTTTGAAGTGGTTTTTACAAGAGGGTAGAGTGTTTATAGAAGAACATTCAAGTGTATAGTTAGTTATAATTAAACGTATGTACCTAGACAATTCTTATCGTTGGTAGGTAACGGCGAAGGTATGCTCTCGCTTTCAATCAACTTCTTGGTCTCCATCATTGCTTCCTTCGCGGGGCTGCCGTCCGGCGCATCTTCTAATTTGATCTGAATGAAACACGTAACACAATGATAGATTTTAAGGAAATCATATAGGAGTGATGATGATGATGACAATAGTGGTGGTGTGGTGGTGAAAATGGTGATCATGATGAAGGAGATGCTAATTATTGTGATTATGAAGATAGTGATGATAATGATTTTTTATGGGATAAGCCGGTAAACGTGCAGACGGATCACCTGATGGTAAGCAATCGGCGTCGCCAATTAACACACGTAACACCAGAGGCGTTACAAGTGCGTTACCGGCCTTCTGGATTAGGAAAATTGAGGATTTTTGGGGATTCAGGGATTGGGGAAAGAGGCGGGGGGCGTAATTGGGCCTCCGGTAACCTCACTCACACGACGAAACACAACGCAACGGTTTTTCACGTCGGTCTTTTGTGAGGCCGTGGTATCACTCCGATCGAGCCGGCCCATTCATGTCGAAGCATGGCTACCCCACACTTTGATGAAGATGACGAAATGATGCTGTTTATGGTCAAGATGGTTATGCGGATAGAGATGATGACGATGAAAATGGCAATGATTGTAATGTTCTTTTGAAAATAAAGATGACGGTTAAGATGGTGGGTGATGATGTTAATGACGACTACATTGATAATGAGAATGAAGGTGATGTTCGTCAATAGATATATCTAGCTGTAAATGTGGTAGTAACTTACAGGCTGCACAGCGGAGTCGGATGGCGCGGCTCGCTTGGGCCGCGGCGGGGCGACCTCGCTGGGCACGTCGGTGTCCTCGGTGAGGCGCGCCAGTTGTTGCTCGCGCTTGTCCAGCTCGCTCTGGTACTTTATGGGGTTGGCCAGCGCCTCCGCCAGCTCGGACAGCCGGTCCGGCACGTAGTCCTAAAGGAGTATTGTGGTGAGATCCATGAAAGTATTTATTTGACTTTTTGTCATGTTTTTTATATGTGTTTCGTTTATAAACATTGTAAACATACAATATCTAACTTATAGATTGTGTAATTTGCTGATATTAAGGTCAAGTAAATGGGTGTTTCACGGGAATCCAAAAAGTTAGGTCAGTCATCATATTCTATGGTAAGATCATCAAGTTGTAGATTCTTCTAGCCTTTTCTTAATATTTTATTCGGTCGGCATTGACTTCTGAGAATGATCCTGATTAGATAGTAAATTGTCGCGTTTTGTGGAAACACGTAAAGACGTGCGAGTACCAGATTACCTTGACGACGACGAGCAGCAGCAGCGAGGCGGGCAGCGGCAGGCCGAGGTCGGTGCGCAGGTTGACGGAGCGGTACCCGGGGCACAGCCCCAGCACGGGCAGCACGCGGTGGCCCAGCAGGCGCCCGCCCTCCTCGTGCGCCGCGATGCGCAGCATGGCCAGCTCCGGCAGCACCACCTGCGACACGCTCCCTCACTCAACTCACCAGGACCGAAGGAAATTAACTTTGCTCTCCGGACAAGATGGCAAACGATCAGACTGATCTGATAGTCAGACATGTAAGCAATCGTTCGAAGACAGTAGACATGTAAACAATCGTTCAAAGACATATCTAAGACTGGGTGGCTATATTCTCGCTCCGCGAAACCAAGCACGTATTTGCAATCTCGTACATGTCTCTGAGATCGTTAGTCTACTGTAACATCTTGGTACTGACTACACTGAAGTGGTAGTGGTAAGGTGAGCAGAAGTCTATACAACTATTCAACTTCATAGGTTATTGTTATATTTATTTAACACGTCCACTCCACCGTCAGACTGGGAGGCTTCGAGGCCCGAGTAAATAGGTTGCTTATGGGACGACGTGCTTCATCGTAGACCACATCGTCACTTACCACCAGGCGAGATAGCGGTCAAACGTCGCCCCATCAAACAAAAAAAAAGGATCACCGGTGACCAGCGTTAGCAGAGAATTTGCCTTCCTTCAACAGTTTACTGTCGACAGTCAAATGCTAGGATAAAATATAATATCTTTCCCAATTGATTTAATATTCATGTAACCAAAATATCGCAATTACCGGAATTTCTATTACTAATTTCTTTTCTTGAGACAAGGAAAAGAAGACGACATAAAAATAAATTAAACAATGTAAAAAATAGAATGAGTCATTTAGACAAAAAATAGCCTTGTACATTTTGAACGATTTCTTGTTAACTGAATGACTAATGCCACAAAGCTGAGATGATGTTCTTGCCGTAAACTGTTCTTCAGAAAACATACGCGGTGCGTTGCCTCTCGCCCTGCGTTTAAAAGGTTTTCTATTGAAGTGAGAACAGTGGAACAAACGAATCAAGGTCACTACTCATTGTGGACCAAAAATCTAATAACCGCGCTAACAACCGTGAAATGTGCTATTATTCGCTTATTTGTATCAATTTGGCATGTTTATTTAATACACTTCTGTTTATGTCTAATTTTATGCAATTTTTATATAGAAATTTTATAATTACCTTATCCGTTGCTCTTCTTTAAACCACACTCGATAATGTATGCAGCATTCTGCTTACATGGTTTACTAGTATTTATTTATTTAAAACTTTACGCATACAATATTACGGCTTACATCAATTGTTACACCGTTACAGACTCCCACGGTTTAAAAATAAATCTTAATGTGATAGCAAAGTTTTTAAATCCAATAAAAATTATAGCCGAGCACCCAATCGATTACACCAATAAAATAAACGATCAACTGACTTTTCTTCATGTAAACACTAAGCACGTATAAATTCACAGAGCATAATGTATTGTAAAATTTATTATACCTATAATAAAAGCGAGTGAAATTTTCAAACAATTGTTAATTGCAATCAGTCGTTGAGTCAATCAGTGGACCGTTTGTAATGGCTGGGTGTGTGAGTGTTGTGTCGGCGTGACGAGTAAACAGTCCGTCGACACGCCGCACATGGCGCCCGCGGGACTGCGTCTGGAAGTCTGCTACAAGGAAACTTCTCCCAACACATTTTTTATAATAAAAAAACCATTCTATACTAACTTTCCGTCTGCGACTTACCTCGTGTGGATGTTTATTATACTCAAAAATAAATGATTTCGACTTTTCAATACAAGAAAATTTGTTTTTACTATTATTATACTTAGTTATTGGTTTTATCGTAACGTTTTTTTTTTTAAGAAATAAGTATGCCATTGACGCAAAAACATTCTGACGTCATAAACTTGTTATTTCATATCGTATTGTTTTGACATGACAATAAAAATATAAAAATTGATTAGTTGTGTGATACGGCGTGTGTGATAATGTATGTATTAAAAGATTAGAGTGAAGATTTCCAGATGAAAATTTCTCAATGAAAAGTAAGCTTTCAAGTGATGAAAGAATTTTAAAATCGCTTCAATTGTACAAACAAACAATCTTTTCTTTTTATAAAATTAGTATAGACGACTTTTAAATACATTTATGCAATTTTGAACGTGTGACGCGCAAGAGGAAAATGTTACTAATGACGAATGCACACGTCATTCGCTCTGGTGTGACGGTTTGTGTCGTTTACATGCATATCATTTTCGCAATTGAGTATTTAAATGTGACCGGATACGATATAACACGAAATTAATACGTTTTTATGTAGTCTTATACGTCATCAAGATATTTTCAACAAACTAAGTATCTAACTTTGTTACTGAAATGTTACTGTAGATCAGAACATTTTTGCCATCAAAAACATAGTGAATGTGCTTTCAGTTCTGACATCTGTTTGATTTGAAGTTAGTCAAACAAAGGTATACAAAACAAAATTAGTGAAACTGTAAACACTAATAAACAACATTCCCGTACAGTCAAATGTAGAGGAGAACAGACTAAATCACTAAATCTATTTCTGTTATACCTCTAAAACATGATGACTACAAGCCAATGTCCTAAGAGAACGGGAATACGCTATCGTTGCACAAAAAATGGAGACAAAGGAAGATGATACATTCACTCAAAAACGTGACAAAAGCTCTAAATTCTATAATATTGATGTAAAAAATGAGGAGTTTCTTTCACGCTTACCAGTTGGCGCTGATGTGACTTAAAGTCATATAAGACTATTTAGTTAACCATATAATACATACAAGACCAAATTTTGTAAACGAAGCTTATGAGAAAAGACCATTTGTAGTAAGCAAATCCACAGATAAATAGGTTATTGACATAATCTAACATACCTTTTTAAACACAAACGGCTCTTCTCCATAGACAGGATTGATGCCATTGTTAGGCGCGACTCTGGTGCGGAACTTCTTCCGCACGGTGTCAGCCGGCAGCCCGAACATGTCGACCTCGACGAATGTTCCACAACGCTTGTCAGTCAGGAGTTGTCCCGATAGTACTGTCACTGATAGTGTGCCCGCTATTATACCGTCCACTGTACTCTCTGCGAACGGGTCTAGACGACGGTCCTGGAATATTAAGGGTATATTGTTGTTAAAACACTGCCTCGTTGGGTAATTGGTCGCTAATAAGTGGGATGAGGTCTCGCGCTTTGATTAAGTGTAAGAAAAAAGTATTTTTCTAGTGAAGGTCGGGACCTCGTACGTACATCGAAGTAAAAAAGCAGACTATAAATTACTCCCTGTAAAATAAGCGACTTGCGGCGAAGTAATTTATAAAATCAATCGGTTACCTGCTGCACAAAAAAAGCCTTCCCTCTATATAAAATTAGTGTAGAATTACAGACTACTCACCTTCCTCCGCATGAACTCTGGCTTCAACAGATATCCACATCGTCGGTTGTATTCATAGGTGCCCAAGTTAAGCTGCATCGCCAGGTCTAGCGTTTGATAGTTGAGGGCCACTAGTTGGCAACCGGCGTTCCAGAATACCTATACAACAAATATACTCGGTGATAGAAAACATGGTGAGGACACTTTGACTTACAATTTCGAAATCGCTGATGGGCGATGATGATGAAATAGTATAGTCATTACTATACTACTGCTATAAGAACTGAATGCCTGGATAATGTCCGGATTCACAGATTATTTAAGTATTATTGGGGCTTTTCTGGTTATCAGAAATAATATTTCGATAGTTCAAAGTGAGAGAAAAATAAATATCCGAGTCTTGAATGGCGCCTAATGAATAGCAAAGACCTTGCTTCCTTGATGGACAAAAAGTGGGTGTAGCATTTAATATGTGTAACTCTACATACTCCATCGAGGAAAGACGTGATGGTATGTTAGTATTAAAATAATATTACTTCTGAGAACTAACTAAAAATAGAGTATTACCTAGAAATATATGATTGCAACGAGCTAGCGAAACGAACGAGAAATTAATCAAACTAAAAGGTAATTATCGACAGGTACATTCACTTAATTACTTATGTTTCTTTAGTTCTGTGACAAGCCATTGTGATGTCCTTGTGTTTAATTAAAGTGTATTGACATCATGATTCATGACATTGCTGTTGTAAAAAGTATTCTTTTAGCATTACTATTTCTAAGAGAACTAATATAAAAATAGTTTCCATTATCATAGTTACCTGTGGCATGAAGTTAGAAGAGTCGAACCTAGTCCCTGCGGGGTAGACGCGCGACAGTTGGTGCTTGTTGTAGTTGACGAACTCGATGGGACGCTCCTTCAGTAGCGTGGTCGCTTGCTTCTCGTCAAACGAAGACATCTCGTAGAAACGGTTCTTTTCTACACATCATAAACACTTCAGTAAAACACATCACACCACACCCGACGAACATCATCATATACCAGTATAACATTGGGAGGATCGGGGCTTAGTATAGGAAAGTATATAGCGCTTGTACACCGCCCTGCCCGTGCACAATAGTTTAAAAAGCGTATAAACAAAAATGCAAAATAAAACAAATAGATACTAACTGTCCGCATTCTCGAAGGAGCTGAAGTGTACAGGTTGCACGTAGTTGACAATGGCAGAGATTTCTGCGGCGGCGTGTGTCCGAGGCCGTCCTCCCCGACCTATACTTATAGCAATAAGAAGAAGCTGCTCACTCTCGGCGTAAGGGGGAAGCGCACCACGTCCAGCTTCCCCTAACGTCAGGCTTAACGTGACGAGATATCGACGAGCGTAGTTTAATGAGGTAACCTAGCTTTTTTTTCGTCTGCAGCCACCATCTCGCTTCCGCTGCTTTGTAAAGGGGATTGGGGGGCATAAGGCCAGTATAGTGACTCACTCTCAGAGTTCTCGAAGGAGCTGAAATGCACGGGCTGCACATAGTTGACGAGCGCGGAGATCTCGGCGCCGGCGTGCGTCTCGCGCGCGTCCTCGCCCGCCGCGCTGTCCACGCCGCCCGCCTCCTCTTCGCCCGACGAGCTCTCAGAGTCCGACGACTCCGACGACCCTTGCCGTGTCAACTGCACACACGAATTCAATACAACATAAATACATATCAACATAATTATCCTAAAGTCTGTCCAGGGAAGTCTGTGAAGCTCTTAATTTTCAAAGGTTTCTTTCTTTGCAAAGATTCATATGAAGAAGACTGAGTAAGCAGCTCATGTTGACCGTAGTAACTGTTTAAAAACGATGTTATCCTCGTAAAGTAAGCTCGATCGAAGAAAATCAGTTCAATACATTTTCATAGATCCCAAAATCATAAATTGATCGTCTGAACAAGATACGGACGGAAATGTTTTATTATTATGCAATAAATAATCTTAACGAGCCACATAAATCATTTAGAAAAACCAACTAAATATTGAACCTACTGTTCTAATCTCGAAGAATGAAAACTATTTTCTCATCCAATACATTTGAGCCGCCGCCAAAATCTAGCGCTTATTAAATAAATAACAGGTTATTTTAATGTTGATAGCTATTGCTATTTAATGGAAGATAACATGTGACATATCATTCAATATTAAAAAGAAAAGTGACATATCATTGAATATTAAAAAGACTTGTCTGAACAAATATTTTGTACAGACAAGTCAAAAATTAATCGACAATTTTTAAGCGATTTTTAGCGGGGGCAGATTTTTCAGAATGGTTTAAATGTACAATGTCTTAGAACTAGAATACCTAGGTCCTAACTACTACGAACTTACACTCACCGTGGCAGTGGTGACATCGCCATTGCCCTGCGGCACCTCAGGCTGTGGCTCACTCTCCTCTGAAGCTATCGAGTCTTCCTTCTTATGGTGGTGATGGTGCTTCTTCTTATTCTTAATTATAATCTTATGACGCAACAGGGACGGCGGCGGCAATTCCCCTCCTTCATGTGACAAATAAAAACACGTTTAGTTAGGTTTTTTTCACAGTATAAATATTGTATACCGCAACGTATAACTGTGAGTTTAAGACTAAGGAATTTTTTAAATTGTCGTGGACCTTACCTGCCAAACATGTACGTTAGAGAAAACATCACCTTAAATAGATACCTCCATTCAGCGGTGTATGCCTTTCAGCTAATGATGTTTTGTTTTTTATTTTAGTACGTTCTGCTATTTATAATTATGTTGCGTCAGGTATGTCTTTACATTATTCTCACATGTGTATACAATATTGGAATATGTATCAGAGCAATGTAAAACAGACTTTTTTTAAAAAGAGTAACGAACGGGGTTTCTTGCTCGTTCTTCTCCAGTCGAATCGACATTTTGGAACGAGCGCCTAGCTTGACTGACGGACAGGCTGACAGACTATTATTTATTTCATATTTGTTGACTTTTCAAAAGGACCAAATTATGGTTTAATTGAAATAAATGCTTTTGGGTTTGAGTTTGAGTTTGACGATTTTCAGTACCGTTAGGAATATATTGCCATATCGTTTAATATACTCAATTTCTCATTAATTTAACTAATCTGAATTATTAACATTCGCTGACAGCTAATGTTGATGTTACGATTAGTCGATTAGAAACTAAGCAACCGGAACAGTTATAACAGGTTTACAATCATTTAAATAGTTATGACAACTAGTCCGATATACGTAGCTACAAACTTGTAACGAGACTACGGTTATCGTAAAATACTACGTGTAACTTCTCTTAAAATTATTACTAAAGAAGTAGAGCGCATTACTTTTGTTGCTAAAGACTGCATTCTTGGCACAAATCGATGTTAAAATCCTTGATCAAACGCAAATCCTTGATCAACCGAATAAAGTTAAAAGGTCAAAGGCCTATAGTCCGGGATAATAAAATGAATCCCGTAGCCTCACTGCCTCACTTCCCGGAGGCACATTTATTGAGTAATGATTTATATCTTCTCACGCCAAACATTAAACATGACGAGTATGCGTGTCTGTCGAGTAACATTCCAAATAGTAGGACTAGTACTCGCCACCCGGCAGCAGTCCGACCCAATAAAACGTAAGCGTGCCTTAAAAGTCAAGGACCGATTAAAACAACACACAACATGTATGTTTGGACTCGTTCACGTAGTGCGTGATGTAGTGAAAACAAAGTGTCGCAGCGTGTTTACATGTCATCGCGCGGCAGACGTTGGTCGCAGGCCAACGTAAATACTGCAGGTGTACCGACTTCAAAGTATCGAGCCTCGATCGCGTTGCGTCACTCACACTAATACATTATCACAATATTTATAATAATAATTAGGATTATTAATAAGCACCGAAATAACTCCGACAAACCGTTGCGTCAGTGATACGTTAGATAAAAGCTCCAATATGTTTCAGAATTAATTTGAACGTATTAGCGCAGCGTTGACAAGAACCTATCGATATCGATATGTTTTACGTCATTTCCTTTAAAAACCATCCGGCCTTTACTGGTTCACAGCAAACTTTGATGCACTCTTAATGTTTGGATCGTTCGGTTGAAAGATTTAATAGGCATTAAACGCAAACAATTTATCTAATCTTAAACACCGTCTTTAATATCGAAGGTAATGGTGGTCGTTTACCTTACGACCTACCTCAACTGATCTACACCTATTTACAAGCTATTGGAAATGTTTACAATTAAATAGTAATAAAACTTTTCTCTGTGAACATAGAGTTCGATCTTTCAAAGAAACGTATGATCGTGTTTCATTTGTACTGCATCTATAATGCGAACTTTTTGTATCATTGTTATTACGGGATTATAATATTCACCGACCTGTACTTTTGCCACCTCTAGATACTCGGGGACTAAGTTGAAACTGTCGATTTGTTCAATAACCCAAGTAACATAAAGCATACAACAATTTACCCGGTTCCAATTGATGGGAATCAAGCGGTTTATCAAGCAACATATCGCCGAATATCTCCCTGCAGTAGTTGGCAATCTTGGCTTGCTGCCGAGGGTTGCAATGGTTCTCGAAGCTGAGTATCACAGGGTAGTCTGACGTCTTGAAGGCACTCTCCGCAATCGCTTCCAGTACCTCCTTGGCACTGATTTCTGGGACGAAAGTGTACCCGTGTACGATCACCGGCTCGTCCGTGCGCCCGTTCCAGAAATCCAATTCTACACATCTGTGTAAAAGAAAATACCTATGGTTTATACATTGATTACGCGGAGAAAGTAATAAGTTAGTAGTTGGCATTGCATATTATATTACTATGATAAATCAATTTATAAGTTAAGTACCTATTGACATTAAAGTACTCATGACACATAGTTACAATAAAAAATAACAATTTGTTCTCGTTTGTTTACCATAAACTATGAGAATTCTATACAAAGGCTATTTTAAACTCAGTAGTGGATAAATTAGATATCTGAACTTATATACAAGCATGATCCGATCATTAAAACCAGTTGAAACTCGAGAGCCGAAATGAGGTACACATACGAAGCGCGTAATAAAATGTGTATTCCAAATATTTACATTTATTTTCATCCGCTAACACGATAATTAAGGTCGATTCACACCGATAATATCGATAACTGAACGCTCGATACTGCACTAATTGGATTTATTATTAAAAACCTATTGGGTACATTATACATTTTTATAAACAAATTAATATAATCGATAGCGCAGTAATTAGTTTCAGAGCATCGTGTTTGAACAGTGTGTGGCAATTTATGTGTTTACAACTATCGATCAGGTTTACAACACACAATTCGGTTTTTTCTATGTAACAGGTTTGAATCTTAAGAGCTACGGTAAGTATTATTCTTTAGACAGACACTACAAATCCCGCAATTGGGATTTCCTAGTTTGAAATGCCAATGGTATTCTCGCAGATTGTGCAAACTTTTTAAACAATGCTGAACATGCGGATATTTTGGTTAACTCGTACAAATAGCTTGCACAGAAAGTTGAAAAGAATGTGAATTACGGAATTTACGAGTCGTGCGCCCGTATTGTTACTGTGATAGTTGTGCACAGCATGTTTTATGGAACATATTAGGAGGCATTATACTTTGTAACACCTTTGTGAAAGGTCGCGCCTCGGTCTGTAGCAAACAGTTTATAAAGCGTGTTGGGACAACAATAGTGTCTCGAATTGTCAATAGAACACGTCGATTGTGTTAGCTCAAGGTCACAGTTTGAGTCACCGCAGAAAGCGCCAGCGGACCTCTCTCCACACCTCCCGAATAGAAGGTCAAGTTTGGAAGCTTGTTTTAATGCTCTTGAACTAGACATACTATCCCTGACCGCGTTTGTTGCATCGTCGATTACCACGACTAATTCCGGCGGCTCCCTGTACTTACTAACGAGTTCTTCTATAGTACTGACCTGCATCCAGCCAGTAGACTCTGGCGATATATCTCGACGCTGGACTTTCCGGTGATCTGGTGTCCAGTGAGGTAGGTGTTGTGCGAGCTGTTGATGAAGTAATGCGCTAGAGGCTGTTCCATATCGTCGCATAGGTCCATCTTACTCGGCGCCACGATTGGGTTGTCCTCAGACATCAGAAACCTGTAATGCGGCTTGAATTTAATATCTTAGACAGAAGCCGAGTGACTACACTTCAATGTTTGTTCGACCTAGAGATTTCTTCCGGATTTCAAGTCTGTGATATGTATACACAGGTAGACTGATAAAATATTGTACAGGGAATAAAAAACACATTTAAATAAGAGAGGCAAAGGTTTATATAACATTTTATGAGCGTAATATTTTGAGTTAATTTGAAAGCGCCCATATAACATTAATAACATAATCATCGTTGAAACATTTTGATACAAGCGTTAGGAGCAAGATTATATTTTATTACTGTCCAGTGGGGAATTAATGAATCATTTATTTACGTTACTCTTACAAGGTAATAAATAATAACAAATATTTTATTTAATAACGTATAATAGTACACGTAACGTATGAATCATCACATGTTATGAATATTATGTATGAATGATGACCAAAAAACTTTACAAAAAGGTTCATATACACATGGTGCTTTTATAAAAACCTTTTTAAAATATGCACAACGTATCCGGAGTCTGTTTCTACGAACTGGCCAATAAAATATGATCAAAGTACTTACCTTAAAAATCCGTCGAATGTGAGCTGTGACCTTTGTTGGTGGTACTTGTTGTGTTCGTACGTTTTGATGAGGTCCTTGGCGCGCTGAATGTCAGCGTAGGGGTGCAGGATCTCATTCAGCCGGGGATCTCTCTGCACTTCATTTAAAAAGTCCACCAGCTGATTGGCAGACAGATGTGGCTTCCCATCCGTCCTGTAAACAAACAATTCGTTATCACCGTAGCCTTGGCCGACTCATCTCGTCCTCGTCCGTTGTTTTGCAAATTTCCTGTGGGCGTTTTGCCCTTTTGACAACTTTAGGTAACAATATGTCAAAGGGTACCTAATGCTTGAACTTTACACTTAGAGCTTACGGCACATTTATAAATGATCAGCAACTTTTACTGGTGAATTACTAATGACCGGCCGACAGCTGTCGCAGGAATAGAGATTGAAACCGCTACATCTACTGTTACACATTAATGTGGTATAATTTGAAAAAGAACCCTAAAATATTCACTATTCCATTCTACAAGGGATTATAACTTACAGCGAGTTTCCAGTTTAAATAAGTGTAAAGATCAAAAGCATGTATGATATAAGTAGTTAAGCAACATTTCTACCCTCAAGTAATACAGGTTCTCGATACAAATGGAACAAGTTAATGGCAATAACAGGTAAATTCCCCTCAACTACAGTAAACAAATAATATTTCTTGGACTTCTTCTCCCAAGAGGTCGAAACTGTGTTATAATATAATATTCATTGATGATTGAAAATGTACATAATTTAAAAAACACAAGACCCGATCAAATACCTACTTAAATATTCATTCTATACCAGTACATATTTATGTATGTAAAATACACGATAACCTGAATTTCTTATTTTCGTTTCATTATTATCTAGGAGATAAAGATTTTTGTGTCATTCTGTTGACATTATCTTTACGACTTCACCTATTAAATACAATACAAAAGTCATTATAAGTGAGGAAGTGTCCGATAGCACATAGCATAATCAAAATATTACTATAAATATGTGTAACGTAGGCACAGAGATATTATCATGTTAAAATGTCAGTAGACCACAACATGTAATGTAGGTATGTATGTACGTAGGCAGAGGTCGCAGTGGTTGCGGTTCAATTGTGATTTACGTCGGAGTCAACTGGTTGATGAGGTTAACACAGGCCGGGAACCCGAACAATTATAACTAATTGTCGCCCGCTTCACCCGCGACCTTTTTAAAACGCCACTCACAAGAGCTGATTCCCCTCTATTTATAGTACCACCGTATATTTACCTGCTCTATATTATATTTACCTGAGCAACGTTAATCTGGGAGATGGAAAAAATAGGTATTATCAGCTTTAAATAATCTACGGCCATCGTAAATGTCGACCGGGAAAATGGGAGTTATTATTGTATCGGCAGCCGGGGCGGGCTGGCAACTGACACTGAGATATTGCAATTTCATCCAGTGAGCATTGAAAACCACATTTACGTTATTCTAATATTTTATACTATAAAGAATCTTATATATTGCACTTCAATCGTCTGTCGTCGTAACATATTTTTAAAGAAACTTGTTTAGTAAATAATTCACTATCATGCCCTAGAAATAATTAATACAAGAACATATTATCTACATAACGTGGGATCAAGCTACGATGATCTTACCAATGCGTTTTTCGAGGATAATAAGCAAAGCCGATTTTGAGGATAAAATTAGTTTAAATATGCCTACCTACATAAATAATAAATATTATTGCCTTTTTATTTATCCCGAGAACAAGCAGCAGTAATATACTATAACACTGTGACGGCACAATAAAACATAATTATTATCTAATGATACTGCATTATAACATCACAAGTCGTAATAAAAATAAGAAGCAAGTGATTACTATGGTATTATAATAATATGCGACGCTGCCTTGAGGTTTACGCTAATCTTCGAAAATAACGAACGATTCAAAGCGCTCGCCTCACAAACATCGCCTGAAATATAAGATCGCGCCCGAAATGGAATTTCCAGACAATATTAACGGAATCGACAACCGGCTAACTGCGCGTATTGATCTAAAGGTCATGAGTTAGTCTCAATCTGAACCAAACTTTGTGATTAACTTCTCGAAACATTGAGCTCAATAGAGCGTTATAAGGGCGGCTACCAATTTTTAATTGACTTGATCGAACTAATGCATGTAGGGCCCGTTATTATAACAGCGCACTTTGTTCATTATAAGTGGTGTTGTTGTTCGCAAACTCTGCAAGTTTAATGGCGCGGACGTACTTAGGCTTAATATTGATAAATCGTAAAACGTTGTGTTGTATGCACGGAGCAACGCCAGACGAGAGAGATCAGATTCATTATTTAGACCGCTCCGGTATTTACGATGTGATGTTTTTTCAATCGCTTCGTTCGTTTCTAACTTTCCCAGTTCAACAAGAAAACACACTGAAAACGTTTTGTGTTCTGATGACGAAACCATTAATGTGGAAGATTAGATTGTGGAGTTATAGTGTAGCATGTAGGGTATAATTAAGAAAATGGACGCTCTCTTCGGTTCCTATCAACAACAATTTCATTAGCATGCAAATGATACATTTACATAGTATTACAGGTAATAAGCACGTATTAGCGACCACTTGATAAATAACATTTTTCGTGACAACTTTTGGTTTGATCATAAGTGTAAGTGATCTTAAATAAACTGATAACTCCTCATTTGGTTACGTCACATCGAGAAAATGTTTAGTAATTCCCTAAAAAAGTTTTGTAGGATCAGCTTCAATTTCTCAGTTTCTCCCTTCTATCTCCAAACCTTTTTCCAAATAGGGTCGGACTGACACGAGTGACTTTTAAACAAATTCGTCTATATTATGATGTAGTGTGCCGTGCGCCCTAGTGTTCACCAAACCTTCTCAAACTGGGATATTGTAAGACACCAAAACTCTCATATTTCCGACCAATGGACGCAGTTTATAAGTTATATTGGATTTTAATATGACGATGACATTTTTGTGTCAGCCAGTCATCCCGACTGTTTTCGATGGGATGAATATTTTAATATTAAAAATTTCAGTTACCCAACATTTTCCTCAAAGCCCAGCGACCGGAGTAACCAACGAAATAATAAATGATTTTGTACTAAAATAAACATAGTTGGTTAAATCGCCGTTGTTCTTGTTTTATATTTCGGTAACTACCGCTAACGCAGAAATAACTAATCAAGCTATGAAACTTTTTTCTAAGAAAATTGCGTAACACGTAACATCACGCCTTTTATCCTCAAAGGGGTAGGTGCACATAACGGCACTTAATGCCAATGACTTATGTTATGAGTCACATGTAATAAGGGGTGAGTCTATTGCCGTATACCGGGCACAATCCAGACTCCGTGCTGTTACTGAGATTTATTTAAACATCCCAGCAATACTTTGCCTGACCCGGGAAACGAATCCGAGACTCCTTGCCCGGCAGTCGCACTTGCGACCACTCGGGCAACGAGGCAGTCCAAGAAAATTATTTAACAGAAAAACCTAAATAAAAGTCCATCATATTAAATGTAAATATTTTATCGAATAATATTGATTACTGAAGTTGTTTATTCCCTTATAATGTCTAAACGACTGCTTGGATTTGAAAAAATAACACCCTTACAAAGTCAGGGCAAGCAGAATAGAGTAGGATAGAATAGTTGTTAGTTGCTCTATTCTAGACTCTATACATACAGATATAAGTATTTATACTCAGCGCCTACTTCGATTCCCTATTAGGAGCTGATTCAAGATAGAAAATTAAAAAATAAACTTACAGATTGTTAAATATCTTCTGGACTTCAGTCCTTTGCGTGAGGTTCTTGTAGAAAGCGAAGAAGTCTTCGAACTGGAACTTGGATTGGCTGATGGTGTCGTTCTTGCCTGTAGGCAGCCCTGACTCGCTGAGAGCCTTTTCCACGCGCTTCTTATCTTCTTTGTTTTGTGCCAACAGCTTCACGATGCTGTTTCAGAAAAACAAGATTTTACATAAAGGTAATTGACAGGTATATTGTAATTTCTGCCTACCACTTGTGTGTATAGAAAAGCAACAGGCACAATTCCAAATCTGGGAAGCCTATCATATTCCTTTCTCCAACCTGGCAGTTGATTCCTAGACTCCATGTAAAAGTCGCGCTTGCTACCAGTCGACGAGTAAATCAGTGTTTTCACAAAGAAAACCTAATCTACTAAGTTTCCCAGCGTGAAAAAGGAACAAATCTGGTTCCAAGCATATTTTACATCGTGGACATAATAACGTATGTACAAGTACCTAACAACAGATAACTGTTGCCCAAGCATTTTTGGGGCTGACCCTTAAAAGGTCAACCAAATACCAGTTATAAGAGAGCGACAGGCTGTTTTCCTAAATAAAGCACTCTATTCTCAACCTCGTAGAGTAAACAATTGCATAAATTGCTAATTTCAACTAACTGCTTTCAAGTTTCAACCCTTTAGACAAACTGATCGTGTTGCTTGTGTACGAAAACATTAAAATTTTGATATTCATTACACATATGACATTGAAATTGCCAGATTGTGAATGTGACCAGTAAATGACGAAACATATGAGTATTACAGGATTCACGGGTGCATCATTACCTACCATCTGAATACAAAATAGCATACGAAACGATAAAAAACTTTTTTAAACAAGATATTTGTAAGACAATATAGACTTCTAATGATATTGTTGTCATGACGTGACCTCTAGTTGACAAGAGCACACCATGGCAAAATGTCAAATGTCAAGTAGGCTTCAACCGAGGCTCACTTTAACATGTTCTGACTACAAATTAGTAATGCCCCTTGACATGACAAAAACTTATGTCGTCTACACACATACGCTATTAACTCGTCGAGTACCGGTTTTATAGACACAATTAAAGAACAATAGGTCGCGGTCACCGGTGACCGCTTGGTGTTTGACAGTTTAATGTACTTAGTTACAGACCTGAGAACCTGAGTTACGTAAGCTCACAATGTGTATAAATAATAAGTTATAGCGCATCTAATTTGTTTAGAACTTTAGACCATAAATATGCACATTTGCATCGCAAATAGGTGAGTTATAACTCAGAGGAACTATAAATACAACTTAATAGAATATCAAGGAATAAAAATCTCACAATTCAATAGGTCGTTTGCTACCGACTGAAATATCACAACCTGCATGTATGCATCTATTGTTTTAGTGATAAAACAATCAGCTGATCATAATCAACTTTCATGTTTCCCAAGACAAAGTGTACACATCTCTTCAACTAACAAAATAAACGAAGTTCTATACTCTAACTCTTAACCTATATTCTCACAATACAACTGCAACAGCTTTTAGCGTAACAGCTAACAACATGCAATAACAAACCAATGAAACGAAACGGAACACAAAAACTAACGAAAATACATACAAAAGAAGTTTTTTACACGTTTCAAGGTGAACCACCCTAATAGATTTTAAAATTATAATTCATGTAATTATCATAACCGGCAGTGCGGATGCGGACTATTAGACGATATTTAACTAAGATATTCACACAAGAATGTGTGCCAGCGTATCGTAGGGTAACGTGGTGTGTAGTGTAGTGTCCGCAGTCCGCGGTACACAGCGCGACACGTGCGGCAAAATAATACAAGTAAACACGTCGCTCGACGTAAATAAACAATACTTGTTCAATATTACGGCGGCGACGCGACGAACAACAGCCAGTCGACAACCTTCATGCGTTTGTTATGCATGAACGGTGAACATCTTCCACTTTAGGGTTCCATACAAACAACATCAAAACGCCAAACTGCCTTGTAAGCATAATATTGACGCTGACAATGTTTTGTTTTCAGTCAATATAACCTTGCCCAGAAAACATGTTTACTGCTCAATTGCAATTTTCAGAATCTCATAAACTCTTGTAATACAGAATGTGTAAATTTTAAAAAAGCATTAACTTAAATACAATTTCATTCTCCACATTCCCTCTACATTCGCGGCGGGCGAACACCCCATCTAAATAAGTTAAGATCTGAGAAACTCATCGTAATAGTTTTGGGTAAATATATTAACATCCGATAAGTATGTCACAGGGGTGTCAACAGTAGATTGACGAAGGTATACTCAACGTACACCAATGAACCTCTCGTGTGGTGAGATGACAATGACAGATAGCGCGACTATCGCAAACATAAACAGACAAAAACAAAGAAATCGAACTCAAACAAAACTGACAACGATATTTCGGTTAATAAGTGAAAGACAAGCAATACAACGCAAAGTTTAATGTGCGGAACTCATTGGCAACGATCGACGATACTCCTTGAGGAAAATAGCTACTGAACAATCTTAACATTGAAGTATACGCGGAGCAAATAGCTAATCATATTCATCACTATGTCCATTAACTTCAGTAATTATTTACAACACTGCATTTTAAGAAACTAGTATTTGAAATGTAAGTACATTTACGATTTATAGCATGTCCGTCTGGAGTCACTGGAGTGCGACATAAATACATTAAATCAGCTGTTTATTTTCTCGAGCCAATCGTAAACGTCAAAGGGTTAGTATATCGCAACTGTCTGACTAGATGTATTATTAGGGATATTAGCGAAACATCGTTATCATTATCTAACTAAATACATCTGTATAAAAAGGTCCCTGAAACGAATTCCGACTAAATGGTACACGCGCTCAATACATCTCAATTTCATTAAACTTCCTATTGTTCCTTAATCCTTTAATACTTCAGTCTGGAAGTTCTAATGGTATTTATTGACCCGTTTCAAACCATTACACGCTGTAGACATTACAAGAAGTTATATCAAGTACAAAAATAAAAGACTTCTTCTTATCATTGGACATTAAAAAACTGTGAAGTAAGATAACGCTAAGAGACGTAACAACTTACTTTTTGACGAGTATTTTCCCCGACTTGTCAGCTTTGAGAGAGATCTTGGTGTGTAACTTCTCGAGGAACTTGATCGTGGGGTTGTTGAGCTGATTCAGGTTGTACGCCAACGCAAACAGCCCCTCGGTCCATAGCTGCCAAAAATACCAGATTACACTATCAACTGTACCCAGGCAATGAAAATCAAAGGAAGTTTAAATCGTTCCCCGACGTAAAAGTCGGCTAAAACTTTAATCTTCGAAGAAATCGGTAATTAATTATTCAAGACATCAGGCAGTATCGCTGTAAATAACTCTACCGTAATCGTCAGATAAGAGAACCATTACCGATTTATTCAAACGTTAGATAGTACAATTTGGAATAAAACATCTATTGGTAAAATTACTTTCACTGGGAACGATACATTAAGTAAGTAGTCGTAAATTTAAAAGCTGTTATGTGTCGTGGGGGCAACGCATGAGCCGCTCTGCTGATAAACTGTAAGTAACTATGACAGCAAATAAACATAACGTCACACGTGGAGCCAGTGAGTGCTTTTAAAGTAAGCAGCCATTTTAATTATATTGTCAAAACATTCAACATATTCTATTGACACAAGGGGGTGGACAATCGAGCTACTCTATTATGTTAAACACTAGCCTCGTGACCTAAGTTTTCTTGTATTACGGTACGAATCATACCTATAACACTGACTATATGTAATTCAATGTTTTCATAGAGATTATCGACTGCACGTTATGTTCTAATTAAATTGTTGACTACTACTACCTCAGTCACGGATTCTATTCGACAAAAAATATTATCGCGTTACAATCGCACATATTTTTTCTTTCGTGTCTAGTCCAAAAATTTCGTGAGGGAATTCCTTTTTTTAATATTGTAAAGCTTCCAACGTTACAATAGCAACAGACCACAAATAAATCCAACCTCCCCATTATATGATAACTTAATACCATCAGTGGTCGTCCAATAATTTATTTACGTTAAAGAATTTGTACAGGCCGGTACCCTATTAATTAGCCGCTCAAAAGCTCACACATTAAGGGATTACCCCAAATTAAACAGTCGTCAAAAGGATTTTACATTTATATTATCCAAAACGGAATTTTAAAAAATAACACTTGGTGATATCATTACATCACTACGATATTTACGTGAGACCCGTCACTATAAACAAGACTGCATATTTATCTCTGACACCACGGAATGATTTACGATGATTTTTCCCAAAACTCTTAAGCAACACAAAAACTACGTGTATTGTAATATGCTATGATTATCTGTTCTAATTTATTTTCCATCAAAATAATACATGAGACTTATAAACTAATTAACGATATTAAGATGATCTGTAAATGGGACACAAACTTGGCATCGACTTCGTATTCTTTGTATAACTGAAGAATGGACAATAATCCCGTTTTTTAAACGTTCTTAATATGATTATTACTATAGATCTAATGTGTTGCTAAACATATGTATTTCCGCAATTGTACTGTGATATACCTAAATTCCCGACAACTCTCTGCCAGCTGTTACCATCCAACACCCAGTACCCAGTCAGTACCAACATAACTCATTCGTATTTCCATAGTACATATTTAATAACATGCTGTTCATAGCTGGATAGCCGAGTATTATACGTATCAGTTACAGTGTAGTTATTTACTTGCAGACACTAAATTACTAGCTCTATCTAAGTATATGTATAATACTAAACCAGTACTTAGTATATCCTGAAGCTTCTAGAATGTTCGTACAATAAACATCACATTCCATGGTCTCAAGGCTTGTCTCATGTTCCAGCTACAGATTTAGTTTAGTTCTCTATCCATTTTCATTATCCCTTAGTGAATTAGTGTACAAGATGAACCAAAAATCCCTTGCTTGCTCTCAAATCTTGTTATACAGGGATTTCATCCTCTCTCGTTACATTAATGCGGCTACTGGATATAGGATGTTCGTGTTCGTTAAAATTATAAGTAGCCATTTTGAACTGTTACGTTTTAGCATATTCATAAAAGAAACATATTTCAAATATCAAGCTGGATTTAAATAGTTACCACTCATTTCCATACTATGCTATATTAATCTGCTATAACAAACACTATGTTAAGATTATTTTGATGATGACAATCATCGTCAAAAGTCATCATCTGTAAAGCAAGTATAAGCCACCTCATCTCAATGGAATATGTAGGTATCGTTTGCCTGCATAATTATGGAAAAGATATAACAGAATGAGAATATTCTTGTTATTCAGGTAAAATATTATTCTATATCTATTTTCATTGACTTGATAAAATCTCGACCTCATGAAGCTTGTAAATTGGACTGGAGCCGCACTCAATCCATTTAATCCGAACAAAAAGGTTGCTCCCAGTCACACATGAAACTGTCTGTAGCTTTCCGCAACTAATGAAATTGAGTTCAATCACGGAATTGGTGCAAACTGCAAAGTATGCCAATACCAGCGCATCACAACATTCATGCAGAATACTAACATCGACTAGCATAAAACAATAGGGAAAACTTTTCATCCGGCACTCGAGTATTTGAGAGTTACACCTACTCGTACGATACGGATTTGGTACGCTCCGTTGGGCACGAGTCTGTATCAGACAACATAGAGCCCGCACTCTTCTGTGGACACCTTTACACGGGCTCGTCTACGTGCCACTATTTATTATTCCACCGGCATTGTCCCACGTTGTGTTAACACCACTCATCACGACTTTCCATCATATTGCGTTAACAACTGCTTGCTGCTTAGAATTAATTCAAAAGAAAAAAGCTTATTGATGGCTTCCAGTTGAGAATAGTCCAAGAATTTTCTATTAACCGATCAGCTAAGAATGCCAAAAATAATGGAATAATTCCATTGATGCTATAATCCGAATACTTACCGAGTATAAACATGTCGGATTCGAACCAATCAACTGATTGAAGTGTTAATGGCCCGCTGGAGGGTTCTCATGTATTTACTATGCTAGTTGGTTGCTCACCTGTGCAATTTCCTTTCTAGTGCAGCAGAAATTGATGAACATCACATTGACGAAATCGGCGCCATGACACACAGTGACAGTTTTTTCCTCTAGAGATCCTTGAGACCCAATCAGCACTACATTACGTATTTTGGGATCCTGCAAAGAAAGTTGCTTGTGAATCAATGCGGAAGATTTGTTTCCAAAAGGAAAACTCAGGTAGAAGGACGCGCGTGGAACACAAGAATTGTATTTTCGCAGAGAATATTGAAAGTAAAGAACTTTTATTTGTTAGTAATGAATATAAAATGAAGCATCGATTGAACTTTATTAAAGGGCGAAAAATCGCGCTGAAAAAATGAACGATTTATTGATTTTGACCCAGTTCAGTTCGAGCTCAATGGATCACTAAGCCCAGCTTATTACAGATGTGTTCGCACTTTTCCTCGCCACCATAATATCGACAAATCGGGGCAATCGGGGCTCGCGTGATCAAACTACACAACAACGTTAATTTTTGTTGAACACCGACCGACCTCGAACACAACATAATTTATCAGATAAGTCTAACGATTCTACGAACAACTGCCGATATCAAAATAACTGCAAATCTTAAAGGAAAACGTCATGTTTAAAATCTGCATTGTCTAAACAGTAACAATGACATAATGCGTAGCTTTTACGCTTTTCCGTGATATGTAATTGTAAGTTTATATGTAAAACATATTTTTACGTTCACGTCTTCATTCAAGTTTATTTTTATTCATAAGACTTGCGGGAACAGTAGCAACACGGCCCGGAGCGGTTATCGTGTTTTCGCTCATTATCAAGATGAAGCGGGAGCGAGTTCATCAACATATAAAAAGTACTGAACAGGTTGCTCTGAAGTTCGCCGTTTCAAACTGCAAAGTTTAATTAAAATCTGACGAAGATGTACAACAACGAAGAGCGACTAGACAAAAGTTATGAAATACTTCAACGGAGATATGATTCTTAAATCGGAACCTTGCCGAAATAGAATTGTACGCCACTGTAATGATTATAATGTTTAATTTTCGACAAACGCTACGTTTCTCAGTAATATAAGTAGGTACCACACTGTTGATGAGTTTAACGAATGTAAACTATACATCAATCAGTGCGGAGATAAAAATAACGCCTGAAGTAATGTATGTAATGATAACTATGTAGCGGCAATTAAAATTAGAAAGTACACATTCGTCGAATGTTTAAAATACGATGTTTCGTGTATTGATAGGCGAGCGTAGTATTGGAACTATGGCTCCCGTAGACGTCAATTAAAATGACATGACAGTAACGGTACAGGGTGACAGGCAAAGTGGGTCACGAGTTAGGATCGGGGAGATTTTAAATTCTGTTATATTTATGCGCTGATTATCTGACAGCTTGGAGCAGCCGACGAAATGAGATGATTGTTATTCTGAACAGTACTCACCAGACCTACGATATCGATTCTAGATTAAAAGAAAGATAATGTAGATCCATAAGTTATTGTTCAAACCCATAATATACCGAAACCAATTAACATCAAAATACATTATTCACCAATAAAAACTCTTAACTCGTCAATCGACCCTGATTTCATATTTAACATCGATCACAATAATTCTATCTCAGAACTGAAAGAATTTCAGAAAAAATACGACATCATTTATTTGTGCAAGCTCGTGCCATTAGCGTAGTGCTACCAGCTACCAGCTAGGGACTTTTGAATTATACATCTGCACTTTCAATAGTAACACGATTTACTAGCACTCTTCTCAAATGATCTGGGGTTGAATTCTTTCAGTAGGGTTTTACATACACTCAACCTATGTATTTCAATATTGCATATCGATTTCATTATAGTAGGTAACTCAAGGTGATTGTGTAAGGTTAGCCCACAAGACAAAAGTTGAAAATTAAAACAATCCGAAAGGATTTTTGCATAATCTTTCATCCAATAAGGACACACGATACCACCGAAGAGAAACACAATGATAAAAAGTGAGTTATTCATTGACGTCTGCGATGGACGCATATGCAAAAATAAAAGGAAATAGGGTAAAAAAGTGACCAGTTGACCTGGGACGAATCACGGATTACAATTTCACACTAAGCGTGGGAACAGCGGAAACACATAATCATACAATAAACCACAACTAGTAGTTATGTGGCTATGATATGGCACACGTTAGATAAAACCTACGCGAATAATATAATACACATTATATTCATTTAGCCAGACTGAACCAAGGCTTAGGAAGACAAGTACCTAGGGAACCTAATAAGTTTCTGCTTTTCATTCAGACATCAGTGTTTGAGTCAGCGTAGCACAGCGCTCTTGAAACCATCACACATCAAGGTCTAATAGGTGGCTCGATAGCGCAGTTTATGTAATAGTGATATAACAATCAATCCATTAATCAATAAACCTATTACACGATTATAACAAGCTGTCAACGGAACACAGTACAGACAATAAAGATCTCTCAATAATGAAATCAGTTAAGATGACTATTTTTACAGTTGCGAAACTAGGTGGCATATAATTTCCTCTAACAATATTTGTGTTATAACGTATTACAATGCCGTTTGCTTGCACTGAAAGTCTTTGTTTCTTTCCTAGTAAACGTATCCACAATTAACTTTATTGAAATGTGTTCGCATTTCCAGAAATTCGCCGAGTATATTGACGGATCTTAAAAATATGCAGGAAAAAGCGAGCATGGAATTCATAAGATAAACGACGCTTGAGATTTGTGATAAATTTATACACAGTACATCATCTGTCCTAAATAATATTTATTATTTTAAAAAGATACGTCCCAATTATGCGGAGCTGTAATTACTGAAACTAATCGCTCGAAGCAGCACACCAGAATCACTGAAGTCACATCTATGACTGCATAGGTATACATACGGTACGCACTACTGGGTAATCTCCGTAACAATGGGCATTGTTTCATATTTACTACTGTCCTTAATTAAGACTAGTTAAATATCTTTAAGCACAGTACTTACTTATTTATTTTCTAGATATTTTCAAATTGTCACAAAAAGTACATAATACTTAAGTTCTTATCTCTACATGCATGAAGAAAACTGGCCATAAATGTAAAATTCGCCTTGAAAAATATTTTTTATCAATTTGCGAAATACACATCAGTAATTTGTAAATTCTCCAAAGATTGGATATTTTATAGAAACTATGTTCTGGGCTTATACGGACAAATAATATAAAGTTGACCTTTATTCTCATTTACAAATCTCCTAATTAACATAAATACTACTGGAAATAATAGAGCGAACATAACCACGGTCTGTAGTGTATCTATAAATACTAAGCATTAGAACTGGTCCCGTCGCGTCGGTGTCGAAGCTATAATTTATAACATAGATTTTTCTAAAATTAGTGCATGACACGGAATCGATAACGATCGGTCCGGCGGTAATGTTAGCACCGCCACACGGTCGCGGCCTATAACAATCTGCTGAACTCTCGTTAACGTCGCGTTAATTGTACAGGTAAATAACTTCTACTCACTGCCAGTAACTACCACGTGTACCTACTCAACTACCAGATAAATTATCAACATAACACATTTATAGAACCTTCATTGAAATCCAACTGTTAAGCAAAGTTATTCAAGTGAGTTTTCGTAAAAACCTTTTATTACATTTCCAAAAGCAGAACAACCGGCTCACAAAACTCCTTATAGATTTTTTCGAAAACGATACGAAGACACGTATCCTCGTCCTACTCCCCTCGTATAGGTTAATCTCTTCCACCGAAACTCATGATATACGGAGATGAATATAGAACATGCGAGGATTAACTCGTACGTGGGGAGCGTACTACGACACCACACGTCCAAACCAAGACAGCTTACGAATACATCCTGCTATATTCCAATATCCACATCTGTCTACATACAACTACTTCCAAACGAATACTCCACCACCGCATATTAACATTTATCGTTCACGACCTATTTCAAATACGCATACAATAAACATGAAAAGATTATTACACGCTCGGACATAGGGGAGGAAAAACAACGAATTTACGCAATGACCCGAGACATTCCAAATAGGTACATTTATCTTATTATAGGCGAGACGAGGTAAGGTCAAAGTCAAAAATCCAGAATTGTTGTTTCTCCACTAATGTAGGAAATAACCTTTCGATTACACAATGCCTTACGAGATTTACGTATTTCATTTCATTATAAAGACCGCCTAAATAATAAATATATATCATAATCATAATATTTCCTGTAGTATCTTCCTCTAATAACTATGATAAACTTCCAAATTCTAAGAAAACACTGAGCTACTGTTTATATCTAACGCTACTGCCATCGTGACGCTCCATTGCATACAGTTATGCATTTCCATATTGCGCCCGTCAAATAAGCATAAATAGACCGTTTGAGCGATCCCTAATTTAAAACATAAAAAAGATGATATAAATTATTTATACCACATGATGCATGCGTAATGTGCATGTGACCTCGGGATAAAAATGGGTCATCCCACTTCATTTAGTGGATGTCATAAGAGACGACTTAGAAATTCAATAATGCTTTTATTCTAATAGCTCAAATCTGAATTGATAATTCCCGCTAGAGTGGCATGTTAAGAGTGTTTGAAGATTAGGGCAAGGAGCGGTGTTGCAGCGACCTGAAAATATTCATCTTCTGATGGTACTGCTTCAATGGAGTTTAAACTTTGTGAACGTTCAAAGAGCTTTTTTGTCCCAGCGCCAGCTCTATTAAACTCACTACGAATGTTGCTGACACAGAAATTATGGTAACAACATTCCGAATAAATGGAAAACATCGTAAACAATTTAAATCTACTGAAACTTTAGCATAGAACGACAAACTTATATTGTCGTAAAGCTTGTTTCTCAACGCGACATTACCAACTTACTCATTAAAATGTCAACGTTAGCCTGAAACGGGAACATACCTGTTTGCACTGAAATACTTTCACGATCTACGACGTTTAAGTAAAGGATGGATATGTGCGATGCCGACCGTTATAGCTAAAATATCGGGCATACCACTTCAGCAATGTTTGCGTTAGACCACCTTATAGGTATAATGTTGACTCTGTCCAATGTCTACATCGCACACCCACAGAACGTTACCCGTAATGTAGTTAACGTGGGGTGTGACGAGTTTGTTTCCAGTAAACCATTATATTACATCGATTCTTAGTCTTCACACTCTGAAGATATCATACAACTAGAGACTACAGTACTTATATCTGAACCGTTCTGCATAGATACACTGTATATACGCTTCTGTATTGTCTGCTACGACTTTATCCGCAACAACGTCCGTGTGGATTTTTCCGTTCGTTAGATATTCATTTACAAAGCCTCTCATATTTGTCGAAAAGAAATTGAAAGCGACAGAAATCGTAAACAAACAACTCTACCACGCAACGTGGTGTACTTAGTAAATTAACGAACTAGCACATATATACACACTTGATTCTGTGCTGTTAATAACCATTAAGTTTGAAAAATGGCTTATACACCACATAATGTGATACGACCACAGGGAGCTAACGCTACTATGTAATTAATTAGAGGCGATAAGCGAATGATATTAATGTGCTAATACTTTCAGAGGTTTTTTTATTAACTCCACTGCGTTCGATATTAGCTTTTTATAGTCAATCAGTTGCCTGAAAACAATAAGTACTTAAAATTGCAGGCTATTGTTATCATTTATTGCCACTTGATTTATTTAACTATCTGATGTATCTAATGAGTGGATTTTTCTACATACCGGATGGTGGTAATTACATTTCTACAGTAATGTTTTAGTCCTATTGCTAAGGGGATGGATTCACTCTCAAACTTATCAACCATAGTGGAATAATTATTGACTATGTTTAAATAGACCTTTAATAAACTTTTTTTCTGCTGTAGGAGTAAAACTAGGCTCTTATTTAGGACATATGCAGTTAAGACCATTCGATATTTTTATTTTCGTACTAATAATCTCTTCATTAAATTTTCAAGATCATGTTCATCACAAAAAATTGTCGTATTAATATCCATAATATTAATACGACAGTAGTCAGTCAGAGCTTTGTTACTGAACAAAGCTCTTTACTACTACTACTGTTTAGCTGTATCATTGATCCTTCCTAACACTCGTATTGTTCTATAATTAACTATATCGAAGCAGCATTAGGGGCGTTAGTGTTAGTTAAATTACAAGTTACCGCGCCCTTAATTTTATGTCCCGTCACGGCACCACATCACGGGCCACGCCATAATGTGGTGACACCATATTGACACTTTATGGTTTCAACACGAAACGTCTTAATGAATAACCTGGATGACAATATGTCAACAGCCCGCCCCATGTCCACTTTGTTCATTTAATAATTTTGTATAGGCATTGTTGTGTTAATAGTTCGCGCAGTCACATTTGAAAGCCCTAGGTCTAACGTTTCTAACAACTAACAATGGTCCTGTTACAAGTTTACCTCAACTTTCTATACAACTTTATAATGACTTCAATTTAGTTTTAACTAGTTACTGAAGACCAACATGTAAACAGTCATATGGTATCGTTTAGTCTGTGTGCGGGAATGATAATGGTCGACCACAATTAGGTACCTAACAACGTCAACGTTGACGCTGACCAGACGAGGTGATACTAAAAAGCGTTTACTTTGTCAATTACAGTATAAAACGGACATTAAAGACGACGTTAAATCTTCATCAGCGATATCACTACACAACTTCGTCCCCTTTTCCAACTTTAAAAAATCTATCGATACTTTCAGAAAGTTCACCAAGTTCCATAATAAATGCTGAAAGTATGTGAAAAAGTTAGCCATTTCACTGAACGTTAGTAGGTCGCGTGGCGGCTGTTACTTATTTTTAACATTGATCAATACCAGAATTATTTTAGAATTCATTTAGGCTTTGTCATTTTCTACGTCTAAACTGAAACACTTGCGACAAAACGTCAATGTTATTTTTTAATTTAAATGTAATAAGTACAGCGTTACGTTAATTTTGATATAATTACAACGTTAGTAAAAGTTTAACATTGCAATTATTTTTTTAATTGCCAGACGACCGCAGGCCTAGTTGTGTCGACTCTATTGTATTTGTATTTGAAGCGAAATTCGAAATCTGAATATTTGTATGATCATTGCCAAGTTTGGATGAACCGCTGGAAAATGCGACAGATATCGAAACCGCACGAAGTTTGCTGAAAATATTTATACATGTTACAAAGTTTGGTATTAGGTAAAAGTTAATCTTGGGTTACACTCCGGGAAGCTAACTAAGACATTGGTAACAAATATTGCTAATGTTACGAGTTTATAACAAGGTTAAATACGATTCTCGGAAGCGCATAGGTAATTTAACGAGGACTTGTGTTGAACTTTCTTTTTGGAGTTGTGAGATGTCTACTAATGAAGACAAACAAGCGTGCACAACTCGGAGAACTTGGCTGGCGTAAGTCCAGAGGCAGGTTAACTGGAAAATTTAATTCTCTTCGCTGTATTCGCCTTTTTGTCCTGAGATCGTCCGGCACGATGCCAGGATCCGATTGGCTTGAAAGAACTTAGTTAAGAACACACGTCGCGAATAAACCAATTTAATTTCAGACAGTTATTTTATTCAGAAGCTAAACACAAAACTATTTCGGGCAGGAAATTCAAGCTGTCGTTATTGGTAGCGAAATGACAGATTGACAACCACACTGTAGGTAGTCAATTCCAAGTTGAAAGGCCAGGAAATATTTCGTTTCAGTTGCGACACTGAACTTTTTCAATGAACTATTTGTTGTGCCAAAACCGGGAAATATGGTGACTAGTCAGACCGCTGACTGGGTGTTATACTTTCCGATGTTACTATACTTCTACCTTCCTACGTGATAAGTAAAGAGTGTTTAGTTTTTACATTTGTATTAGTTTAAAACACATTTCTATCTACTACATTTTCATGCTAAGGCTCTATATTCTCCATATAAGACAGGGAAAATACGGTGATTAAACTATATGACGAAGTCGGTGGCGGTAATTTCGACTTCGGTTTACGTCATGTTTCGCTACTTCCGATTTTAATTTAACGACATTGAACTGAAGTTTTTGTTTCTTGTACAGGACAAACACCGCGTCAAAGAGTTAGTACAGTTATCTGGCAATATCAATGTTATTGAATTTCTTTTTTAAGTTTGAGTAGGTTTAAAAGAGTAATATGGACAAATGGACATAACACAATAGATATTTAATTTCATATAAGCAATTAGTTTCTAACATAATAACAGCTGCCAGTAGTTCATAAGGTGATGCATGTTGATGTAATAATTACAGGTAACTAACTATAATGTTATTGTAGAACAAAAGATCTATTACATACACATTTCTAGAATACTAGTTAAATAGGTCTCACAATATTACCTATGAACTATATCTGCATTTTATACTTTAGAGCCATAAGGGTCAAGGTGCTAAATTGCTAAAATACACTTTACATTTTTATTAAGGTGAAGATACTGTTCATTTTAAGACATAGAAATAAATATCTAGTTAAGGTAGTAAGTGAATCTATTTCACATTGACTGATTAAAAATGGATAAGTTGCTTTACTTAAAAACAATTAATTTTATAGAAAATATATATATTATAGAAAGTATGTCTAACTATTAGTTCTTATTAATATCCTAATAAGAACTGTCTCAGTTATTATAAAGATAGTTAATATTATTTGGAACTAGTTACTTTTATAATCAAGTTAAAATAGAAAAGCTTATTTTGAATATTAGGTATTTAGATGCTAATGTACAGCAGTATATGAAGGGGGCTGGTGGTGATGAAAATGATATTAAGAACTTACCTTTGGAACTTTAGCATGTACTCCAGTGCGGACATCCCTGATGGTAGCAATGTCCAGCATTTCCACTTCCATGTTTTGGTCTGTCCAGTATAAGTAGAACCCTTTGGGGTCCACCCGCAGGGTGACTGGTAAACCAGTACCTGAGTCCTAAACAGAATAAATTGTTCTGGTTTATGATTTTTCTAATAAGAAAATACATAATATTCAATGAGATATCAATTTTACTACAAAACAGGCAGTAATTTTGTCTAAAAGACCCATTTCAGTAAAATATTCCTCACTAAAATTAATTAGCTACTTAATATTGCTTAAATTAGAAATTAAACTAGTTAACTCAAAAGTCTACAAATTAAAAACAGTGAAAATCATCCAAGAAAGTAAAGAAATAGCAAATAATAATTTTGGCATAGATAACAGCAAATGTTTTGTTTACACAATTAGTCACAACAATAAACTAAAACAGCCTGGCAACTAATAATACAGATAATAAATTATTATCATAAATATAATGTAACTGAGTTTGCAATAAAAATGATAAGGAAAACTTTTATAGTTATTTTTCCATTAACATTCTTTGCTTTATATACAACAGATAATTTTCTATACCATTTAAGTTGTCTCTTTCATTACTATAACTTAACTATTTTTAATAGTAAAAATGTAACTGTTGCATGAGTATGTTTTTACATTAAAATATGAGTGAAAATATTTAGCTTTGGATACTTTTCTCAACAAACGAGGAAGACTACAAAGCAGTAATGCAAAATAGCAGTAATGAAAAATAGCACAAAAAAAACAAAAAGGTACTTACAATCTACTTTCAAGATTCTAATAAGAATTAATCCTACTTACAGGTAACTTGAAGGTACTATAGTCTTCAAGACCATGAATCCAGACCAACGTAAATTATTTTAACTGACAAAAAAGCAAAGCAACCAAAACTAAAAAAAAAGTATTAATTAATAAAAAATACCTCATCCCACTTGATGAACTTCTCTCCCTCCTGTAGAGCCTTCGGTACTTCAATCGGCTTCAAACTAACTTTAGCAGATCTCGTAGTAGTAGTCATCGTGAATAATAAACACAATTATGCGGAAATAATATCACTATTGTAGATCAAAACCGTCATCTTCCCTCTGTGCACAGATCTATCTGAGAAATCTATGAATGGCACGCTCGACAGACGAACACCGAGTGAATGCAGACAAACTACAATTTGATATTAAATCAATAAAGACTAACATATTATAACATTATCCACGATAAATAACACCTGCCTAATTACTAACAAACAATGATTTTTCCCACATACTCTATCTCGACGAGACCACCAAAAATCCAGAATGTCAAAATGTACTAAGAACCTTAGTGATGAGGAACATTTATATCGAGAATCTCCACCTAAGGTTTTATTTGTGTTTATTGAAATGAAAAATGAAAATGTATGATAAAAAGCGTTAAAAGAGTGTTTCTCCGTTTTTTGAGCAGAAGAATATTGTACAAATACCATAACCTTATGCCTATTATTCCACGCAGGGATTGCATATTTAGACAGTTACTAAATTATAAACTCCCAGTGGTAGCAAATCTATTGCCAGTTTACTAAACATTGTTGTCTGTTTTAAAATTCTAAATATTTATATTATCATTATAGGATTAAAAAAGCTTAAAATTTTACAATCACATCGATAGAATCGACTTTTATGAATAGTACAACACTAGCAGTCGTGTGGATCTCGAGCAATGAGTTGCTATTTTAAAAAAAGTTGCATAGTGCTGTTCTATAATCGACTAAACTAAACTTATTTATTAAACTACCATAATATTTAATAAAATAGGATATGATAACTATATAAATATAAATGATAAAATATGCAAATTAATAATTCCATATTCAAACATCGTTCTTTTGTTTCAAGTGGCAATGGAACATTCAAAGAGAATGTTTTGTTCTGTCATCTCCACATTATAATCAACGTCAGCTTACTGCAACTGCCTCTGAAGGCTTCAAAACCGACCGCAGCTTGCAGAGAGCCATATAACTTTTGAGCAACAATCCACCTCAATGACCTGTTCTGTGCTTTCTTTTATAATCGACTATTGATGTTCGTTTCACTCACCTATCATATCTCTAATCTAATATGTGTCATGAATGTCATCATGTTTATTGTCAATGTCAGAAATATTTTCTCTTGGCAGTCAGTCTTGTGAAACTTAGAACAAACATTATTTTGTATGGAGTTCGTAACATTCAGTGTACCAACATTCAGAAAAACGTTGAGGTACCAACACAACAAAACGAACTTGGTACCTAATACTTCCGACAATTGAAATTGACACAACATGGCTGCCGCCTTTGTGCAAATGTTTGTGTTGTGATTATTCTGTTTGTTTTTTTCCTTTGTCCTTGTGATTTCGGAATTTAACCTAATAGAATAATTTATTTTATCGTGTGTTTAACGTTGAGTCGAGCAACTGCTCCTCCGTTTCATCTTCACGTGGTTTTATTGAGACATTGACTCTGTTAGTGTAAGTGATTCTTGTGAGATATTTGACTCTTTTATATTTTTATATTTGTTATTCTTACCACCTATTACCGAGACAGTGACTCTAAGTTTGTGTTTGTGAACCTTATACATCATCATGGGCAAAGGTCACAGACGTTGTGAAATTTGCCATACGAATGAGTCTTGGCCTACTGCTAACAAATTACATTTTTCCCATTTTCCCCTGGATCCAAATCGGTGTGTACCTACTTACTACCCATTATTAATGGAATTAATAATTCAATTCATCGCTTATACGATACTTTCGAACCGTCAATTAAGATTAGCTGAACTCAAATAAAGTTTTAAAACATGAAAGGACCATGAGCACCTTGGTATGTAAATTGAATGTTCATCCGACAGAAATGAAATTTTAATAAATTTCGAGTTTATAATGTATGGAGTCGTTGAGAAAATCACACTTAAAATGTTTGGAATTAAGGTTATCAATCACTTAATTTCGTTAACTTCGTTAATGATATATCACTGATATCATCACTGTAGTACTTGAACTGATACATCAAACAAAACATCACCTCTTTTACCCACTGTAAAGATGATGTACACAAAGATGTACGGTCGCAAGCAGGTTAACCTATTCTTTTCTGTCAAATTTATTACATTTTTAACTTATTGTATTGATATTGTCGAAAATCCCATTAATGACTGTCTAATGACTCTACAATTAAAAAAAGGACCGACCTTTTACGAATTATGGTACTATTTGCTTATAAGAAGAACGATTTTATTTATTTTTTAAATATAAACTTTAAGCCTCTGTATACTTCTGTATTAAAATATATGTAGTTAGGCAATAATCAGTTTTTGGTTTTTACAGTCACCATTTACAGTTTAATACGGTCACCAATTACAGATTAATCCACATTTTATAATAATAAAGTATATATAAATAACTTAAGACTAAAAGAAATAATATGCATCAATATTCCAACACCGCACACAATTATAGATGTTGCTAATGCTGGGGTAAAATTTCTTTAAGCGAGCGAGTGAGGTTTTTGTGTTACATTTAAATTTAAATAATTTTTATTTGCATCAACGTGAACACAGAAGTGAAATCTAAATGCATGTCCTTATTGGAATAAAATTCTTTAATTGATTATTATTCACCTGTAAGACCGTTTGTAAATTAATATCAAGTAACAAGAGTATGATACAAATTTGTATGTATTATATATTTTGATATTACATAGGGTAGTTATTAAGAGTAAACAGTTATTTTTTGTCTTTCAGTTGCCGAGACTGGCTAAAAGCAGTTGGAAATGAAGAGTTGGTTCATCTACCAATAGAAAAATTACATGAGAACCGAAGTGTTTGTGCTAACCACTTTAGAAAACAGGACTATAACAAAAAAGGTAATCGTCTGAAAAGAAATGCAATCCCAACTTTAAATTTGACGGCCTTGCCTCTCACTGATGCACAATTGGCAGAATTTCCACAGCATGTTTTTAAATATCCAGGATCAAAAGGTAAATTGAATGAATAAATTCTACAGTTTATTTCTACCATAAACCGGTTGATCTGTCAAACATACATCAATTAATATTATGTCAATCTTCTGTTTTGTGTGAATTTTTTGTTTTATAACAAGTCCAACATTGGCTAAATCATGTATAAAGTCGAGAACAGTTATTCATTTTTAAAATTAAACATTAGTTACTAATATACCTATGGCTAAATGTCTGTGGTTTCAGAGGTACGACATCCTAAAGTCTAAGTATTCTTTATGATTCAATACTCAATATCTTTATTGTTTTTCCACATTCTAAATAAAGGTATTACATTAAATTATGGCCCCCATTGAGCACAGCACGAGCTAGGACGCATGCATGCATTAGGACACCTACTACAAACTATTGATAGTACAATACATGCACATGTTTCACACAAATATTTATGTACACACAGAATAGACAATACAAATCGTATATCCGATATATTAATATATAGTTAATTTACATAACTTAACACTTTTACTAAATTCAAACTTAGTCATTAAATTAGAATAAGCAAAGTTTGTATTTGCATTTGTATTTATAGAAATTAAATAGGTATGTCTTGTTGTGAAAGAGCGGAGTTTCCTAACACAGGCATATCTTGCTTAAAAGGAGGCTCCAATTTATAGGTTCCGTAATCTGTTTTTACAAATAAACGATTTTATTTTATGCATTAATACTCAAACAATTCATCTCTTATTAAATCTAACTTTGACAATTTAAATTATTATTCTAATCTTAGAATTTCTATTGGATTAATCTCAACTGCATACTTCTAACTTACCTACTTACATCTATTAACTGTTGTACATTAATGAACTTAGCAGATGCTGTAATATTCTTTATTTATATATCAATCAACTAATTATGTAATATGTATTTATTCCATTATAATTTTTTTTCTATTCTTAATTACTTAGGTACATAAATTTATGTATTTATTGAATTCTATCTTTACTATAATATAATTTATTAGGAATTGTTAATTTTATAATAAATATGTTTTTTATCTTCATTATTTAATTTCTTGAAGTAACTTATTATTAATAATAATAATAACTTTTTATTCAGATAACAATGATCTAATTATTATACATTTCTATTAAATTGACTAGAGTTCCTGAAAAGTATAGAAAGTATTCGTTTCTGTAAAAAAATAAAAAATATGTACATATCTAATGTTTAAAAATAATCTAAACAAATAAAATTGACATAAAATAAAAATTTAGCATCTACTCCATTCTTCAACCAGATTTTGCAGAAGATTATTTAATTATGTTCAATAGAATACCAGGGGTGCTCATTGTTAAATAATATAACGCATACGAGTCGATCCCCGAGGTTAAGCTATGCTTGAGGTTAGTTTTTGGATGGGTGGCGATTTACTAACGAACTCCCTTCCTAGTATGTAGTGGTAGAAGATAGTCGGGTAGTAGAGTAGAAGTAGGAAAGTAAACAATGAGTTTTGCAATGTTTATTTCATAAATAAGGGAGATATAAATAAGATCAACGATTACTTAGATTAGGATCACTTTTTTGGAAATGTAATAGGCGCTATGTCTTCGAAATCACAGACTTTTAACCTTATTCATAAAATTAAGTTTCATCCTACAAAATAATAAGTATCCATACAGAGGTATCTTATTTCTATTGAGAGGTGGGCCCAAAATTACCCATTACCAATTACATTAACTTTTAGAAAATATTTAAATTTTCGTTAGGATTCTAAATGAAAGATGTATTGTGTAAATTTTACTCCCATATTTTCGCATATTGATAAACGGTATGTTCTAAGCCATTTTATATAGTTATTAAAAACAGGTGCAACTTCTCATATAGGATTTATAACAAAATTAAGAAAAAAATCTTAGCACTCAGGAAATAATTTGGATACTCAAGACATTCTGCCCTGTGTCTTCGTCAGCCTACTTATTTTTTTTCTTTATTTACTAATAAATAATTTTGTTATTAATATTGTTCAAAAACAAGTAACCAAAACAGCTTTA